CCCTTCTAGAGCGCATTAGAATTTCAAGCTCCATGGGACGAGAAATGGTTTCACAATGCAGACAATGACACTTACAGGTACAACAAATTTATGAGCAGAAGTTGACTAAGCCAAGTGTACACATATATGTCGGTCAGAAATGTTTAAATAACAAAACTATGAAGAAAACATTCTCAAATCCATAACAAGCCTTTGGCCTTTCAAGGCACCAAAACCTCTTTTACACTATTTTGGAACTTGTATCCAAGTACAGCAACCATGCCCCAATCAGGGATCACAGGCAGAGAGGACGCTCAGGGTTAAATGAGGGGTCTAGGCAATCATTCATAAAGAGTGACATTGATAAAGAACATAAACAAATGTTCCACATAATCAGGACCTGGATACTGAGGCATAACAGCTCCGCAAGTCTCTTTAAGGTAATCCTCAAGTAGTACTTCAAAACGACAATAATGTTCTGCAGAAATAGAGTGAGTTGCATCTGAATGGTGATCCAACGAAAAGAAGAAAAATGACAAAGTTCTGTAATTACAATTTACATGTTCGATGATTCTCTGTCTAAGATTTTCTGCTGCCTTCTCAACAAGTGCACCTCCTAGCATGTTATCTCATTCTCAAATTCATCTTTGAAAGTGCTTTAAAGAAGAGTCCTCCATGACCAATTGTTTCAGCAGCAACCTGCGTTAAAATATCAGAGGCATGGTCGACCAAATTCTATGGCACATTATCGAGATATTGCAAAATGTACAACCAATCACCTAGAACAATTCAAAGATGGTACCTGAATTGGGGAATTTCTGAGAGATGTTTATCCTCTAAAGTGGCATTAAGAAGTCTTGACTGCATAGGATCATGTGGTGATAGAACTAAGGCTCAGTTCGTTTGGGGGAAAATATTCTCCTTTTGGAAAATATTTTTCCGGAAGTCATTTTCCTGGAAAATGTTTTCCCGGAACATAATTTTCCGGTGTTCGGCGATCAATATGAAAAAGTTTCGGAAAATATTTTTCACCGGCGACATGAGGCGGCGGCGGCGGCCGACTGGCGGCGGCGGAGGAGACGGTGGCGGCGGCCGGCGACCGGCGGCGGCGGCGGGCGGCCAGCGACCGGTGGCCAATGGTGGTTACCGGCGATCAACTTCCTCTCCCACGGAAAATATTTTCCCTCTCATGGGCAATTTTGCCTTCAATTTGGGGGAAAATGATTTCCTCTTCGTGAAAAGAGGAAATCATTTTCCTCAAAACAATGAAGGATTTGGGGGTGGGGAAGGAAAATGTTTTCCCACGGAAAACATTTTCCGCCCCCGAACACCGGAAAACGCTGAAAATATTTTCCGGAAAAATATTTTTCCGCAAACGAACACAGCCTAAGTACCATCAGATTTTCCTTAGGACCTGCAGTTAATTAAATCACAGAATGAACAGCTGTGCCTTTTGAAAAACTCAGTGAAGACTTAACAAGGAAAGAGCTTCACTGGTATCCACTGCTCTGGGTTGCCCTTCACTGATGGAATCTCATATATCGCCTTATAGTATCGACAAATCGCAAGGTAAACATTCTTAAGCGAGTAATACCTACACCTACATCGTTAACCACATAAATGCGGGGTAAACTGAGATGCGAGTTCAAATCCATCAAGTACATCTGGAACGTCAGAGTTTGCGATAGAGCTAGAAAGGAAGAAGAGCATGTGCCAGATATATAAAGCCATACAAGTTCATGGTTTGAACCACAACATGAACACCAGGTGGCGCTTGATCGGCAAAAACAAATTAGTTAAAAAGACAATGGACACAACATTAGAAAAAGCAAAACACCAATTTACCGTGTCGCGAGTCATAGTACATCCGTTTCAACTCCAGAAGCAACAATATCAGCTGGCGCTTCTTCCACAGTATCTTCACCTTCTTTAGGCTTTTTTCTTCTCTATGGAAGGATCTGCATCAAAAACTCGGGCAATGATCCTCCTGGAAAGGATATGTGCACGGACATAATCCTGGCCTAAGCACAAACGAACCTGCAAAATCCATTAATCCAGCGATCAGAAAACCAATCATAGTAATGGTGCATAAACGGCTAAAGGCAATACAAAAAACTCGTACTTGTTCGAGGATAAAAGGCGATTTTCTCCTCCTTTGCCTTCTGTGACAGAAAATGTAAAGGAAGAAGAAATATTGAAAATGTTCTTGTTGTATATATTCTGTACATGTACATGCCAATATTTGTAGTACAAAGAAAAGATCAAATAAAGAATAAACGAGATACATTTTCCTAATTAATCCCGATTGACTGCATCAATTAATCCTCAATCTTCGTGATTAGAATCAGAATCAAGAATCAAATCGGATCTTTCTCCAACACTCCCCCTCAAGCTGGTGGCTTATATAAGTCAAAGACACCTAGCTTGCTTAGAAGATACGCATGCTGTCTCTTGCACAAAAGCTTAGTGAAGATGTCTGCAGGCTGCTCCGCAATTCTGATTCCTCGAGTTGTAATAATCCCTTCTTGAATTTTTTCTCGAGTGAAATGACAGTCAACTTCTATATGTTTTGTTCTTTCATGAAAAACTGGATTTGCTGCTAATTTGAGTGCTGCATCATTATCACAAAATAGTTTACTCGCTCCATCAATTTGTACCCCAAGATCCGATAGCAAACCTCGTATCCAAATAATCTCGCAAATAGTTTTTGCCATAGCTCGATATTTTGATTCAGCTGATGATAAAGAAACAGTCGATTGTTTCTTTGTATTCCACGAGATTAAAGATCTTCCCAGTTTGATGCAAAAACCTGTGATAGATCTTCTGGTCCTTGGGCAAGTCACATAATCTGTATCACAATAAGCTGTCATTTCCATGTTGCAATCACGAGATAATAAGATTCCAAGTCCTGGACATCCTTTCAAATATTTCACGACTTTTAGTGCTGCATTCATGTGTGATTGTTTTGGGTTATGCATAAATTGGCTGAGTATCTGCACTGCATAACATATGTCGGGCCTGGTCATGGTGAGATAAATCAATTTCCCCACAAGTCGCTGATATCCTGATGGATCTCCAAGTAATGGATCTTCATTGGGTGACGTTGAGCTCTTATCATATTCAAGTGTTGTGAGCTTGACATTCTGTTCAATGGGAATAATAGCTGGCTTACATCCCGATAATCCTGCTTCAGATATGATCTCCAAGACAAACTTCCGCTGACTAAGACATATTCCCTTGTCGGATCTGGCTATCTCAATACCAAGAAAATATTTGGGAGGTCCCAAATCTTTGATATGGAAGGTAGAGCTCAAATAACCCTTAAATTTCTTAATAGCGGAATCATCATTTCCCATAATGAGTATATCATCAACGTATATCAATAAATAAATTGATGAAGTACCTTGGGTCCATGTGAACAGGGCATAGTCATGCTTGGGGTGCTTAAAACCTGCATTTGTGAGTGCAGTTGTGAATTTGGCGTACTACTGTCGAGAAGCCTGTTTGAGACCATACAGGGATTTACGGAGACAGCAAACCCGAGACTTCCCCTGTCTGCGTAAACCCTGTGGAAGTTCCACGTATATTTCTTCGTCCAGATCGCCATGAAGAAAAGCATTATGGACATCGATATGATGTAATTCCCAATTACGAAACGCAGCAACTGATAGAAAAGAGCGGACAGTGACCTCTTTGGGAATGGGAGAGAAGGTTTCATGATAATCAAAGCCTTCTCGTTGCGTGAATCCTTTAGCAACTAACCGAGCCTTGTAATGTTCAATGGAACCATCTGCCTTGTATTTGATTTTATATACCCATTTGTAGCCAATGGGTTTTCTATTTGGAGGCAGAGGAACTATATCCCAAGTATGATTATCCATAAGGGCACCCAATTCAGCTTCCATAGCTTGTTGCCATCGCAGGTCACATGCTGCTTCTTCATAAGATGAAGGTTCCTGTTCCTCAGATATGCAACTAATGTAGCACATGTATTTTGCTGACAGTCAATTAAAAGAGACATATGAAGATACAGGATATTGGGTACCTGGAGAATTCAGCGTGGGGCATATGTAGTCCTTTGTCCATGTAGGGGGACGAATTTGACGTCCGGATCGCCGAGGTGGTTCAGCAGTTGGTTGTTCCAATAATGAAGGAGATGACTGATCAATATGCTGCTATGGAGATGGAATCAATAAATCTTCCTCCTCGGTGGATGGCATAGGTGACTCCATCGTCTGGTTTGAGTATTCAGGAGCTTCTGGTGTTTGATCAGGAGAGACGAAAACATATGGTGAAGTCATACATAAATCTTCTTCAGATAAGAATTGATGATGTTTTGACTCCGATGCAGTTGTTTGGGAAGAATATGTCGATTCGTGAAATGGGAATATATCTTCATGGAAAACAACATCTCTGCTAACAAAGAACCTGCCTGTAGATATTTCCATAACCCTGTAACCTTTCTGGAGGAGAGGATATCCCATGAACACACATCGAATGGCATGAGGGTCCATTTTGTTTCGAGGACCCACATTTGTTGCATAACATAAGCAGCTAAAAACTCTCAGGTGTCCTATTTCCGGTTGTTTGTTGAAAAGCATTTCAAAAGGGGATCGTCCCTCAAGAATTCTTGTCACGCCTCGAACCCCAATGGGCTCGTGACACCCCTCCGAAGGTCGTATTGATCGCGACGTCCCAGGACGCGTCACCGACCCCAAACGAAACACCCAAAGTCGAATGCAGGCGGCAGCGAAATTTAAACAACTCAGATAATTAATAATGACAACAGGGTAGAACAAGCACGAATTAATAAACTCATAACATTAGCTTGAAATCACAAATATTCATACATTAGGCCTCTAGGGTTCAAATCTACCTTCATCGTAAAAAAGGAACAAGTGGCCGGGCAGACTACTAACTGCACAAAAAGGGACTCTACTAAAAAGGCTTGCAGGCCCAACTCCTAAACATCCCTATGGCGTCCAATCCGAATCGGACCCTGAAGATTCTGACTCCGTGTCCTAGTCGATCTTGATCGGCTCCTCCTCATGCTCGGACACTATAGGCTCCTTCTCGGGCTCGGGCTCGGGCTTGGATTCCTCTTCAAGCTCGGGGTCTGCAGGGGACCTAGGTTCAGGTTCGGGCTTCGGAACAGGCGCTGGTTCTGGACTAGGGTTCTCCGGTGGACTATCAGGATCCGACACCTCGCCATCGGGAGTAAACTTGTCCCAGGGCTCCCAATTTACCGCACCCTCGTTAGCATGCTGCAACCCCTCAAAACCTCGGATTGGCCCAGAATTTACCAACTTGACCCGATGGGACCAAGCCAAATAAGTATGGCGTTCCAGCTCCTCTAGTCCCACGTCTACCCAAATAGTGGTACGATGCCTAATATACGTCTCATCCGGGTTCGGTCAAGGATACTCGGTCTCCTCATGCACCGTATGCATGGGAACCCCAAAATGCCTAGGTGGCGACATGCTCAAGGTCGGGGATCTGAAAATGTTTGCACTACAGCAATGAGAATAAATCTCAATAAGCAGACAACCTATACCCCACCTAGGCCAATGCGTACCCAGACAAGTTTAACATGCAATTCATCAGCCAACACAATCAATTCCACACAACATACTTACCTCGCCTCGAACTACGTGCCAACTCTGCATATTAGAATATCCACCATAAAGCAATAGTAATTCAAGAATACATCATCGCCACTCAAATGCCATAATCATGTACTTTCAATCAATTCAATCACACTTAATTCGCATTCGTGATCGAGCAACTTTCTCACGACCCGCGCCACTGTGCCTCAGGTCCATTCTCACTACCCGCGCCACTGCGCCTCAGGCCCAATTTCACTGCCCGCGCTACTGCGCCTCAGGCTCAGCCCTCCGATCAATCCGGCCTCAGTCCCGCGTAACCACGCCTCAGGACATTTCTTTCTTTCCAATGACCCGCGTAACCTACGCCTCAGGTCTAACTCACCTTCCATAGCCCGCGTAAACACGCCTCAGGCTCAGCCCTCCAATCGATCCGGGCTTTTCTCATGCACATGTACCACAACACAAAATTCACCATTTCCTCAGTCGTATAATTCAAATTCAAATCACCACACTTTCATCAATGTCAATCTGACACGCCATAACACCCAATTCAAGTCATGCTTTCCACATCAGCCTACCGATCTGACATTCAAGCTGGCACATTCAAATATTCCATTTCACTCACAAACGCCACGACAACTCGGTCACGTCACCCATCTCATTCAATCACAAATGTAGCCACACAATCACCACCACAATAATTCATAAATTGAGCACATTCAATTTTACTAATCCTCGCCTAATTTAATCCCTAATCCGACACTAAATCACACCCTAAACAAGTCTAAACATACCCATTATACTAAATAGGGTTTAGGAAGTCACTTACTAGGTTTTGTCCAAGGAAAAATCGGCTCGGGCCTAAAATGGCCTGGGTGAACAGTGCTAGCTCGGCACTAGCGAGGGCGCGGGGCTCAGCCATGACTCGGCGCACGGCCCGGCGACTCAGCGCGGCGCTCGGCCACGGCCTAGGACGCTCGGCATGGCCGGGGGCGACTCGGCCACGGCCTGGGCTGGACGGGCGAGTGGCTGGCCACGGCTTGGGCGACTTGGCCTCTGGGCCGGGCCGGGCCGGGCGGCCGGGCTACCGGGCCGGGCTGGGGGCCGGGCCGGGCCGGGCCGGGGCGAGCCGCGATGGCGATGGTGACAAGGTGACTGCTGACGCGGCGGAGACGGCGGAAGGCGAAGAAGAAAAGGGAGGGAAGTCGCAACGACGACGGGGATGCTGAGCGACGGCGACGGCGGAGTTCAGGCATCGGGGCGATGCTGGGGAGCTGACTGGACGGCTGGACGGTGGATGGGACTGGTCGGATGTGGCGACAAGCGGCGGCGACCTCTGGTTCACTGGGAAACGACAATCGGCTCGAACGGCGGTTGGTCGGCACGGCAGTGCAAGGAGGCGACACGACGGTCACCCGGGGGCCAAGCGAAGCAGGTGAGTTGGCGGGGTGGACGGGAGAAGCGGCCGGAGTCGGCAGGCGTGGTGGCGAGCCGAGCTTGCGCGCCCGGGAGGAGAAGAAGACCGAGTCGGGGAGGAGCTGCTAGGCGACGCGGCGGCGCGACGACGGCGCGAGGAGGACGACGGCGTCAGCAGCTGGTGGGGTGGCATCAGGCGGAGGCGGAGGGACGATCGAGCGGCGGTCGGACGAGCAGGACAGAAGCGGAGTAGAACCAATCGAGCCGGGGGAGGAAGAAAGGAAGAAGAAGAAGAAAAGAAGAAAAAAGAGAAGGAAAAGAAAAGAAAGGAAGAGAGAGAAGGGGGGAGGGGACCTTGCATGGGGGAGGGAAAAGGGGGAGTGGACGGGCGTGCATGGGGCAGAGGGCGCAGACGCGGCAGAGGGAGGAGAGAGAGAGAAACAAAAGTCAACGTACTCGATCGCGATCCAACGGTCATGGTTCAAATCCAAAAACAATCCAACGGCCCACGAAAATCCTAATTAATAATATAGGAAAAAGGGCCCAAAGAAAATAACCCAAAACACACTACGAGGGAGGTCTACTAGTCCAAATCCGCATCCGGTCAAAAATTCACTTTTCCACTATTCCTGACAATATCGACTCTGGCCACAATAATATCGACACCGTCCAATTAAATTCGTCCCCGAACTCCGAGAAATTCGACACCAAAGTTTGGGCTCTAAATAACGGCCAAATTCGATCGAGTGCGATTTTAGCGAAATCTCTAATTTAAAAATAATAACCCAAGAGTGATCAGTTCCGGACGAGATTTTATTATAAGCGCACTGACAAATTACACGTTCTATAAATCCCAAAAATGGGCCGAAATTCGAAACGTCACAATTCTAGTTGACATGTGATTAATCAAATAAGCCGCCGTGACCACACAATCACCCCAAAAAATTTCAGGAATAGATGCTTGATACTTTACGGCTCGAGCTACTTCTAAGAGATAACGATGTTTGCGCTCTACAACCCCATTTTGTTGAGGAGTGTAGGTGCAAGAGGTTTCATGAAGTATCCCATGAGAAGCAAGGTAAGAATTGCACTATGTAGTGAAAAACTCGCGTCCATTGTCTGTTTGAACTTTATGGACAGACTTGTCGAATTGATTTTTAATTAAGGAAAAGAAATTCAACAATTTAAAGAATGTTTGACTCTTGGATTGCATGAGGAAAACCCAAGTAGCACGAGTGTGATCATCTACAATTGTTAAGAAAAAACGAGACCCATCATGATTTGAAGTATGATAGGGACCCCAGATGTCTACATGAAGCAGAGAGAATGCATCAGTAGCTCGAGATGTGCTTATCGGAAATGGTGCTCGTGATTGTTTTGCCAAAGGACAAATTTGACAATTTGAATGAGGAAAAAGAGAATGAGTCACCAAAAAGCGTTGATGAAAAAGAGAGAAAATACCACTATGACCCAAATGTTGATGAAAAAGAGAATTTTTATTGCTAGTGGTAGCATTACATGAAATGCTTTTATTGAATAATGAAATATCAAAGCCCTTTGGAAAGTTGATCCAAAAATACAATCCTTGTGCAACACTACCCAAGCCCATCATGTTGCCAGTCGAATGGTCCTGAAAGAAACAGTTTTCGAAATTGAATATGACATGACAAGAGTTGTCTTCACAAATCTTGGAAACTGATATAAGGTTGAATTCAAATTCATGAATGTTGCCATTTGGACTAAGATGAACTGTTCCAATTTTGGTGACATGAGTGACAGTACCATTTGGAAGACGAACAGATGCATCAGGATTTGTTTTGTGGTGATCAGAAAACATTCGCTCATCACAGATTATGTGGTCACTAGCGCCAGAGTCGATTATCCATGCATCAACTAAAATGCTATCATTCTTGGGAAAAGAAGTACCTGAAAAACTTGCTGCCTTGTCTATAATCTTTAATTGATTCAATGCCCTCATGATATGCTGGTATTGATCATTAGTAATAGTCTGATTTGCCCTATCAGTCCCTTGTGTCAAAACTTGATAAGCAGAAAAATCTTTCTCCTTTTTCTCTTTATCATTCGGTTTTTTATGTAACTTCCAACATGTATCAATAGTGTGATGTGGACGTTTGCAATAATCACAATATTTACCTTTGTTTTTAAAATTTTGTCCATTTCCTCTAGCTGACTTGGCGCTTCGTGGACCATATGATTTGAAATTCGGAGCTGTTGTGGCTTGATGGAGGCCACCCGAATCACCCGCATGGATGGCTGAATGAGAGCCGTCTAATCCCTTCTTGTAATATGGACCGTCCATCTTTGAAACCCTATTATTTGGGTCTTCTTCATCCCAGTGACTAGAATTTCTGCTATGTCTCCCGATGGAGGTCTGAGCTCGTGGCGGCAGTGGCGATCCCAGGGCGTTCGACGGTCGCTGTGATGTCCCCGCCGAAGCAGCGAGCGTCACGCTCTCTCCTATCTTCACGTACTCCGTCGTGGCCAGCCGCTGGTTCTCTTCTTGCACCGCCAGCTAATAGATCCGCCCAAGCGGAGGTACGAGATCCATGGCAAGGATTTGGGAACGAAATGGTGAGTAACTTTCGTTTAGAATCAACAAAAAACGGGTTACCTTCTCTCTTTCTCAAATCTTTCTGTACTGTTCTAGTGTCGATTCAGGTCCTTGAAGTTCCTCCTCAGCCGCCTCGAGCTCGTTCCATAAAGCCGAGAGTCGGTTGAAGCAAGTGGTAACCGAGAGGTTCCCTTGCTTCAACTCCGATATGGCCTGTGTGAGCGAGAAATGCTTCACCCGATCCATTTTTCCATACATTTCCCGAATGTTATTCCACATTTTCTTTGAGTCTTCGGTCGGTGGGAGGCCGGCGGCGACGTCGGGGGCTATGCAATTCCCAATCCAAGTGTGAACAAGTCGGTTGCATTTGCGCCAATATCGCTGTATCCGATCATCGGTCGGGAAAGGCATGGTTCCGTCGATGAATCCGTCCTTGTCCTTGGTCACAAGGGCTCGTCGGAGATCCCGAGCCCATGTGTTATAGTTATCAGGACCGGTGAGCTGCAAGTTAATAAGCCGGAGCTCCGGTCCGTCGGCCGGCGATATGTCGCCGGGTTCTGGACGGCCGCTGGCTGCCGGAATGGCGTACGAGTAGAAACTAGGTTGTAGTCCCGGGTAGGGATCCATCCCTTGACCCGGTAAAGTCAAATCGGATCTAGTCGGCTGGGCTTCTTGGGTAACACCAAGTCCGGTATTCGCATTTCCTACGAATGAGCTGTGTTGGCCCCATTGCTAATTGGGCCCAACAGCCCATTGACCTTGCACTGGTATCCATTGTATTGGCGGCCACTGGACATGACTGGAAGGCTCGATTGAAGTTGGTGCTGGAGTCGAGGGATGTTGTATCGGGTCATCTTGGTCTGATTTTTTATTCTGAGGTGAATTGTTGGACGATTCCTCCATCACAGGTAGGGCCGTTTGTTGGTTTTCACTGGTTGGTGGTTTTTTTTGTTCTGACTTTTTGGCATGTATACAGGTGTTTGAATTCCTACCCGAAGTGCTAACTCGTTTTGCCAGGTGAGATTTGCAACAACGAAATTAGAGAGCTATCGGGGGCAATTCGGAAGAATTTGCAGAAGCTAGGTCAGAACCGAAGGCTCTGATACCATGACAGAAAATGTAAAGGAAGAAGAAATATTGAAAATGTTCTTGTTGTATATATTCTGTACATGTACATGCCAATATTTATAGTACAAAGAAAAGATCAAATAAAGAATAAACGAGATATATTTTCCTAATTAATCCCGATTGACTGCATCAATTAATCCTTAATCTTCGTGATTAGAATCAAGAATCAAATCGGATCTTTCTCCAACATTCTGCCCCAAAAAGTTTCTACCAGCTAAGTGGGTTATGGTGGAAACTCAATTTGTTGCTACTGAGGCGATGAAGACTCGCCGACATCAATCAATTCTCACTTCATAAGTAAGTGTAGATTCAAGTACCCTGCCAGAAAGGATATCATCAGGCTAATCTATTTGCTTTTTGACATATTTTTCTTTGTATACGTACATAAACACAGGCGCCCCCATTAAACTCCCACAGGGAATATGAACCCCAACCTTCCATCATTCAAGGAAGAAGAAAGAAGAAGAAGAAGAAGAAGAAGAACTAACCAGGCGAATCAGCATGACAATTGCTAAAGGACGACTCAATCAAAAGATCCAACCCATCTCGATCCACATGCAGAAATCGGAAGGCGAGCTCGAGAAAATCGGCAAAAAGGTCTGCGAGCGCAATCGCTGTGGAGAGCCCCTAAGGGGAAGGAAAAGAAGGGGAGAGGAAGAGCACTGGGCGAACCCCTCGCTCGCGAGGAACTCTCCGCTCCTGTCCTCTCTCCTCTCTGAACGCGCACCGACGGAAGAGCAATCGGAGGAGATCCGAAACACCTTCAAGTGAAACTCCCCGCTGGCCCGACCTCCCCAGCTCAGCAGATCCCCCACCGCCGCCGCCGCCGAATCCGCAGCATCTCCGCCGCCGCCTGGAAGTGACGATGCTTCAGTCTCTCTCGGGCGTTAGCAACTGCTGGTGATGACTAATAACGAGCAGAAGAGTAAAAAGACCGCGGGGTGACAGGATAAACGGTGCGAATCTCGTAAGCCTCGACAGAACCCGATGAATCCCCAGGGGGATCGTGAGCGCCATCCATAAATCCGGCAGCATGATCTCTCTCTCTCTCTCTCTACATTGCCTAACGTGTTCTTGTGCTCCCCGCATCCAGAAGTTCCCTGAATCATCCACAAAAGAGAGAATTGCGGTTGATGAGATATCGCGGAACAATTGAAAAAAAGAAGAAGGAAGAAAAGAAACCAATTCAAGCAATCGAGGAAAAGTGAGCGAATTCGCGCCATTCCCAGAGTGCAGGATTTCGATCGTCCCACCTTTAAGAAAACCGAGATGGCTACGGGTCGAAGGCGAGGGGATGTTTCTTGAAGAGCTGCTTGTTCTCTCAACGTCTTGTGATTTCCACAGCGTAGATATGGACCAGGATGCCTGGTATTAGAAGAAGCAAACAGAAGATAGATAAAAAGTTCAACTCAGCCGTGCGAACAAAACAAACACGCTATAAGATGGCCGCGAACGAGCAGAAAATACCTTCAAATGCGGAACTTGCGGAAAGATAAATAATTTAGAAGTCTGGTGCTCGTATCGTGTCGAGGATGAAATGACAAATGACAAGTTATTTCCCCAAAGGGCACCCTTTTCAACACACAACACACAATAGCCTTCAGATGTTTTGATCTGGAAAGATCAGGCGATCGTGCGAGATATCCAGCATCCTGCATCCTCCAATTTTTTGATCGAGTCGGGAATCTCTCTCAACGAGCAGCATTCCTCTAATAACAAGTACCGCAGAGACACGAGAGAGCCTATGGAGCTGGGTATGCGGGCTAACGATACACAAGAAGAGGCATTAAGAGTCTTGAGCATTCTCAGAGAATCAATGGATTCAGGTAATTCTTCAATCCCAGTTTCAGATAGGTCCAGTTCAGTCAATGATGCCAATTTTCCGATCGAGTCAGGAATCTCGCTCAACGAGCAGCATCCCTTTAATGACAAGCACTGCAGAGACACGAGGGAGCCTATGGAGCTGAGTATGCAGGCTAACAATTCACAATAAGAGGCATTAAGAGTCTCAAGCATTTTTAGAGAACCAATGGATTCAGGTAATTCTTCAATCCCTGTTTCAGATAGATCCAGTTCAGTCAATGATGCCAACTTTCCGATCGAGTCGGGAATTTCTCTCAACAAGCAACATCCCTCTAATGACAAGCACTGCAGAGACACAAGGGAGCCTATGGAGCTGGGTATGCAGGCTAACGATTCACAAAAAGAGACATCAAGAGTCTCGAGCATTCTCAGAGAACCAATGGATTCAGGTAATTCTTCAATCCCAGTTTCAGATAGGTCCAGTTCAGTCAATGATGCCAACTTTCCGATCGAGTCGGGAATCTCGCTCAACGAGCGGCATCCCTTTAATGACAAGCACTGCAGAGACACGAGGGAGCCTATGGAGCTGGGTATACGGTCTAACAATTCACAATAAGAGGCATCAAGAGTCTCGAGCATTCTCAGAGAACCAATGGATTCAGGTAATTCTTCAATCCTTATTGCAGATAGCTCTAGTTCAATCAATGATGCCAACTTTCCGATCGAGTCGGGAATCTCCCTCAACAAGCAACATCCCCGTAATGACAACCACCGCAGAGACACGAGGGAACCTATGGAGCTGGGTATGTAGGTTAACGATACACAACAAAAGGCATCAAGAGTCTCGAGCATTCTTAAAGAACCAATGGATTCAGGTAATTCTTCAATCCCTGTTTTAAATAGGTCCAGTTTAGTCAATGATACCAACTTTCCGATTGAGTCAGGAATCTCCCTCAACGAGGAGCATCCCCGTAATGACAACCACCGCAAAGACACGAGGGAACCTATGAAGCTGGGTATGTAGGCTAACGATACACAAAAAGAGGCATCAAGAGTCTCGAGCATTCTCAGAGAACCAATGAATTCAGGTAATTCTTCAATCCCTGTTCCATTTAGGTCCAGTTTAGTCAATGATGCCAACTTTTCGATCGAGTCCGTAGATTCTGGAAGTTGAGCAAGATCTTCGTAGGAGGCATTCTCCAACTTCATCAAACAATCTCTCGGAATAGGAATGTCTTGTATAGCAGTATCATTTAAGAAGAGCTCCCTCAATTCTTCCATCCTACCCACTCGTGCCGATAGCTTCTTCAGTTTTTTACACCAACTAACATCCAATGAGACGAGGGTCTTGATATCCTTGATAGAATGATGAATCTCTTCTAGATTGTTACATCCTCGAAGGATCAAAATCTCCAAGCTTTTGAAATCGGACAAGTCGGGAGTTTTTCTCAAAGATTGACAATATGAGAGCTTGAGAACTTTGAGTTCAGTTGACATCTGAAAGAAAGAAAAAGTAACTAAGTGATATTGAACCTCTACAACGTGTGAATTTCCACTGCTCCTCGTTTTCTTTAGACTTTTTAAAATTTCCTCAAATTACTCATGCTCCATTACTCCTTCACAATTGTCTTATTTAATTTTATATATTTCTTGTAGTAGCGTTTGGCTACACCAACATATAAACATTTTTTATACGTATCCATTGCAAAAACAATGTTAAGGATATACAAGTGCTGACTGCATTTATTTTTGGATAACATTTCAAAGAAAATATATGTTTATTGAATAGACATGAGCAAAATTTATAATCAAAGAAGTAGATGACGAATTCAAATGGAAGAGACATAAATTCACTGGGCGCCATATTTTCCTTCAATAGTATGAAAATAAGAGAAACGGCTAGTTTAATTATGAAAAAAAATTACATTTTGTATGTACAAAATATAAAAAATGTTATATCAAAAAATATGAAAAGCCATTGGAATGATAATTTTATCACTCTTTCAACATTACTAAGTTATAATTGTGTTATACAGTGACTTCAATAATCAACAAATATAATGAACAAAATTTTATGTGCAACAAGTCAGAGCAATTCATAAATTATTCCATAACTCTATGATAAAAATGAATTTATAATTTCAGTATGTATGTGCAACAGAAGTCACTGTCATGGAGTTTTTGTTTCTCCATGAAAGAAGATCGATATAGACATATAGCAAGAATCTCTAAAAGGACCAACTTTGCATGGGGAGAAATTAACTTAGAAGCCTTAAACCGTTTAGATTAAAAAAAATCAAGATAGGCACATTGTTGTAATTAAAATTTTAATAGATATATGTTAATTAATATAGTTAATTTTTTTTCTAGTATATCTAATGCTAAGCATGACAGGTTGTAAAGATATTATCAATTTAAGATATTAAGGGGCAGAAGCTTATATTTAGGTGCCTATAAATTCCTCTTATATTAAGAAAATCCTTAATCTGAGGAAGGATATTAAATCTTTCAGAAAGAAAGGGAGGAGAACTTGGGCTTATTGCACCCGTGTACAATACGTGATAATGCAGGAGATGTGCCTTTTCTACTTTTTACCTTGAGTGGATCCCATCCTCTCCAGTTCTCTGAAATTTGAGTCCGCGACATATCGAGCACGACTAATTTCTTCGCATGAAAGCTGGCCACTTCTAAATCCAAGTGACAATCGTCGCACTCAAGCCATCTTAATTGAGGAAGCACGATTCGGAAATCTGCGGTGAACTTCGCATTGGTCATTTTAAGGAACCTCAAGTTGGTCAGTTCTTTAAATTGTTCCGCTGTGTAACTTCCTCCCTTGTCAAGATGAATGACCTCAATCTTGCTAGTGCCCTGCAATAAGGAAAGTGTGTGGACCGTAAGTTTTGAATGATGAGATGAGACCAACTGTATATAAGAAAATATGAACTCATTTCAATTTGTTCATACTATTACGGTGTTGGCTTCTCACTTTCAACTTTGGGAGATGACAAGTTATGATTGCGTATTATTTATCTAATTAATGTAAAAATCCGAAGCTTGAGAGGGTGCTTTTGACCTTTTCCTCTTCTAATTATGCCCCTTCGCAATTTTCACTTCTTGAACTCCCGAAGCTGCATCTTTTCACAATTACAATAGATGGCCTCTCTTTTGCACACGCTACTTTGAATATATCTATCGAAATTCATGCCCTTTATATGGGAAACATCACAACCCATACTCATCATTTATATGTAAAACAACACGACTCTTACAATCCAAATACGTATATCAAACTTGCCACGAGAACATGTATCAAAGTTAAAAATCCCAATTGTACAATCTCCCTTTTTTTTTTCCTGATGTACCTTGCTTGCAATTCTCAATAGCAAAAGGAAGACTCACAAGAAATCAAAAGAAGAATCCAAAGATCAAATATGTGCATCAGACACCCGTGTGGGAAAAGCATGGCTACCAACAATTCACAGATGCTAGGTTTTCCCTGAAAGTGCTTTATCAAACATTATGTTTCTATAGTTTTGTTGTTGCGTTGAAGTTACCAAAGGAGAGTGTCCTCATCACAATACTACGAGGTAAAGCTATATACATATACATTTATATAACAAAGAAGATGCTCCTAGATTGTGTCCTAGAATCATGCAAGAAGAACAATTAACCGAAAGAGCTCTTTTGCTCATAGAAGCCACAAGTTTTGGGGACTCAAGATTGACAATAATTTTTATCTCAAACAAGAGAGAGAAGATGGACTCACATTCACTAACTAAAATAAGTATAAAAAATTCTTACCTTGTTGCTTTCAAGCACATCCATAGCTTCCTCATTAATCCATAATCTGCTACGCTCTTGAGGCTCCTTCGGGTTTTCTAGACGAACAATTTCCCTTCCAAGATCTCTCAATTGATCATGCATCCTTAGATAGCCGTGCTTGTCAATTTTAATTAGGGACATAAGACTCAATACTTCAATCCCTTTCCTTGGGAAAAAATCACAACTTTCCCACATATAAGTCGGATATTGTTTAGATGATCCGATAAAAAAACATGCAATATCCAAAAATATCTGTTGGTCCTCATAATCTAATGCGTTGTAACTTATCCTCAATGTCTCTTGCACTTTCTTATGAGGTACTTTCTTCAATTTCTTTAATGTATCTTTCCATGCTTCTTTTGTCTTTCCACATAAGAATGAGCCTATAACTTCAAGAGCTAAAGGAAGCCCCTCGGTAGTACATACGACATCACGAGAGATATCTTCATAATCACTCAGAGGAGAATCCTTTCGAAATGCATGTCTACTGAATAAAATCAATGATTGATTAGAAGGCAACTCCTTGAGTTCATACTTGTGGGCTGCCCTAGCCTTGTCAAGAATACTCTTATTTCTAGTTGTGATGATGACTATACTTCCTGTTTCAAACCAACTGCCATCTCCGACCAAAGCTTTCAAGTGAGCACAATCATCAATATCATCGAGAAGAATAAGGACTTTCTTACCTGTAAATCGAGATTTGATAACTCCGATTCCCGCATCAACGTTAGACACATCACAAGAACTTCTTATTATGTCAGAAATGAGCTGCTTTTGTATGCATTCAATACCATTACGCTGAGATGTTTCTCGAATATTCGCCATGAAGCTAAGATACTCAAAATGACTAGAGAGTTTGTTGTATAACACCTTTGCAAGAGTTGTCTTACCAATGCCGCCCATTCCGTAGATTCCGATAATCCTTGTACCATTGAATTTATCATCTATCCAGCTCATAATTTCTTCCACGGGATCATCAATTCCCACCAATTGTTCAGGAACATGTAGCATAAAAAGTCTTTTTAACTCGCTCATAACTTTTCTGACAACAATTTTAACCAATATTCCTTCATGCCTGTCAAATAACAACGAATTTTATTATAAAATGGGAATATTTATATTCATTTTCAAGAATGATCTACTTATGAGAAATTAAAAAATGTTCTAGTGGAGAATAATCTACCCGTTATCAATTTTCTCTGATTCCCATCCTTTTAGGGAACTAATTTCTTCAAGCGCTTCTTCCCATTCCTTCACAACCATCTCGCCCAAATTCCCTTTATGTGCATTGATTGCAACTGCCCATCTCCCCGTGAGATGTCGCAACTGCGAGGGTTCCACTTTGTAAAATATGGGCAACACTATTTGCCCTTTGCTTCTCTTGCACTTCAACATATGCGCCAACTCGCGAAGGCACCATTTGCTTGAACTGTAGTTCTCCGAGATAATTGGGATTGAGATTATAGACTTTGTAATACAGCAAAGAAGCTCTGGACCAATCTCCTCACCAACATGGAGCTCATTGTCATCTCTGAAGACATGAATTCCTGCATCGACAAGGCTAGTATAGAGATAATCAGTGAAGCCTTTGCGAGTGTCTTCCCCTCTGAAGCTCAAGAACACTTCGTAATCATTTCCCTTCGGCCTTTTGGTTCCGCCTTCATAATCACTTACATGTGGAGAGGTCGATGAGGAAGAGGGCTTGTGGATCGGATATTCTGAATGAGTGGGTTCTTTTCTTTTCATCTTGAGAGGATTGTAAAAGAGATTGATGGAGAAGGAGACAGAGGGGAGATTTATGGATTCCCAAATCTGGGAATAGCAAAAATGTCTCGCAGGACTCAAACTTGGATCTACATTCAAACAACAATAGAAATTCTCAGACAACTCATCAGAAAAAAGGAGCAATCAAAGCAGGAAACGGAGAAGGGCAAGGAGTTGTCAACTACCTGAGGAGTGTTCAAACAACACAACCCACCCACTGCTGTGATCTCCCCCGATGCTGAGCCTTGGACGTTGGATTACTGTCACGCCCCGAATCCTATGAGCGCGCGATCATCCCTTCGTGATCGTAATGTACGCGACATCCCAGGACTTGTCGCCAACTCAATCGAAACACTAACGAGCAACGCATGCGGAAGCAACCTCGAACTCTCCATACAACATATAAACAACGGGATAGTAAAGAGACAAAGAATACACATCAACAAAACACTTTTATAAACATAACATCGATTACAACACATACATTTGCAAGCCTTCTACAATGCCACTATCTACGAATCACGCACAACAACAAGGATCGGGTGGTTGGTAAGCTTAACTCCTCTACAAAAGGGGCACTCAAAAGATGGGGTAACTCGACCTATCCTCAATCCCCGTAGTATCCTGGCAGCGTCTCCGGATCAATCACGGTCGCGGGTCTAAAATAGTTTGGTCATACAACCATGAAAACACTTCTCAATAAACAACTATCTAAGCCTCGCTTAGGCCAAAGCGTGCCTCCGAACAATTCTAAACATGCAATACCGACATCCAACATGTCATAACAATCATAGACACCCTTACCTCGCCTCGGCACATACGTGAGCTCTGCACGTTAGAATATCGCCATAACATGGCCAATTGCCCATTAAGCATACGCAAAGCAATTCATGGCATGATCAAGCATAACATGGTTAATAATCCAGACGTGCTCATCAATTAACTCAGGCAAAGCATTCCCCAATACAAATCGCACTCATTAAGTCCAGATTATTAACGACCCCTCGGGCCACCGAACTCCCGCCGGTCTTCTCACGTAACCAGGCATCGTCCCGCTACGACGGCGACGGCATCGTCTGAAACCCTCGCCCAGATGGCATTCCACAAAGGAGCATCGATCCGGCCTCCACCGCGATCGGCAACGTCTAGAACTCCCGCCTAGATGGCATCCGAACCCCCGTCGGGCGTCGTCTAGAACCCCCGCCTAGACGGAACGTGTCGTGACCATGCACACACTCAACAACCATTACCGATTCTTATCTTTATGAATTAACCAAATGCCAACTAAGCCTACATTCATCAATTAAAAAGCCTCGCCTTTCTTTTGTAACAAAATCTCCGAAAAGTCCCCGAGAGAGAGAAAAACCGAGTATGCATAGAATCGGGGCCAAATTGGGCAGTTGTGCAGTGACCGAAATCCGTTTGAAATAAATAGTAAATCAACTCCAAAAATTCTGATATTTGGATATGTTGTATAAAACATCTTGATAAACATTTTTCATGAGGGATGTAAAATCTAGTTCTAACTGTAAACACCTCATTTTGACACTCAAATCCAGACAGAATCCGATTCGCTCGGACAGCCCCTCAGACCATCAAAATACAACTCATTCAGTACCCAAATTACTTTGGAAAGCTCTGAAATTATTATATGTCATGGACACGAATGTTCTTAACAATTTTTGTGAGGGAAGTTTGTTGAAAAGAGGTCTGGAAAAATTTATAGAAAATCGGAAAGACCAGAAGGTCGGGTGAACAGTAAATCCGGTAGACTGAATACGGTCCAAAAATGGACTTACGAATGACCCTAAATGATCTCCAAAAATTCCAGATTTAATATATGTCATACTTCAAGATGTTATGAACAACTTTCATGAAGAACACTTTCACAAATTCGGCCCACAACAGTCACAGAGAAAATAGCAAAGTCCAGCGACACGGCAGCAACCCTACCGGAGATCAACCAACAAGCACCACCAAGCAAACCAAGCACAACCAGCCACTAAACCAACTATCCACAGCCTTAAACCATCCCTAACATGTTCATTAGTCACCCCTTAGCCTAGTCAAGGGTTAGGAAGTCACTTACTAGGAATCCTAAGCAAGCAAACCAAGAAGAGAGGCAACAGCAACTCCGGCGGTGAGCTGAGCTCACAGCGGCTGGACAGTGGCTGAGGGAGGCGGGCAAAGCGGCTGGCCGGCTGGAATGGAGAGCGAGAAGCGGCAGCAGCGACTAAGGATCAGCCGCGGCCCAGCAGAAGCCAAGAAGCAGAAGTCGAAGAAGAAAGCAGAAGGAAGAAGTAGAAGCAGCAAAGCAGCGGCAACAAGGCAGAAATGAAGCAGAAATGGAAGAAGTGCAGCTCAGCAGAAGCAGCAGCTGCACGTGAGGGTGCAGCGGGAAGTAAAACAGAAGAGTAGAAGTAGTGGCATGGGTGTTCAGCGTGACAGAGGAGTCAGCAAAGCAAAGTCAGCAGAAGCAACAACAGAGCAACAAGGGAATGAGTGGAAGTCAGTCACAGCAACAAGGTCAGCACGTGGGGCAGCTTGAGGAGTCAGCCAAGCATAGGGAAAGCAGAAGCATGGGTGGAGCAGCGACAACAGCAGAAGTCAGAAGCAACGTGGGTTCAGCAGAGGCGTGGGGTAGCTTGAGGAGTCAACAGTCAGCAAAGAGAAGTATGGGAGCAGCAGAAAACAGAAGCAACGTGGGGGCAGCGTGGGGCAGCGGGAAAGAAGGAAAGGAAGTCAGCAAGCAAAACGGAATCAGCAACGTGGGGCTGCTCGACGGGGAAAGAGGAGGAAGTCAGCAGCGTGGGGCAGCGGCGACGTGGGGAGGAGAGAGAGAGAAGAGAGAAGGGTTCAACATTATCCCTCAAAATCTTGCCCAATTTCCTTTTTTTTTTCAAATTCTGATCAACCCAATAATTGGCCACGCTTAATGAGACGACGTCCGATAAATTAGTCGTAGAAATCTTGAAACTTCGACGCCCAATTTGAATTCTAATTAATGGTCAAATTCAATCGAATGCGACTTTAGTGTATCTCGAACTAACGGGCGGCTTTTAAGAATTACACGTATCAACTTGTGGCCGATTCGATATCGAGCCACATCTAAGTTTACTCGAGCCATGGCGATCTCAGTTGTCATGTAATTGCGAGGGTCAATCACTAGTTCCGAATGACGCGATCGTTCGGATTAGGTTTAAGATCGTTCGAAATTCATACAATGGCCAAACGGAATCACCCACGACCCAATTGCACGACATTTGCGAATCGTTCCATAACCATCCTTGGATCGACCTTTAACGGCCCAAAATATTCCCTCGCCAATCCTTATGGTCGAATTCTCAATCCATAGCTAAGTTTTTAGGTCCACGTACTTGATTCCTAGCTAGCCATTCTTTAACGGTTAGTCTACTCGAGAGTGATCAATTCCAAGCAAGATTTCACTGAAAGCGCATTGAAGAAATATTCATTTCATAAATCCCGAAAATGAGTCAAAATTCAGAATGTCACAATTACCAACACACAACACTCTCTACTGTGCGTGCTTGAACAATGATGATTGCTGACTGCTTAAAGAATGCTGAGTTATTGCACGCGTAATATTCGCAGCATTATGCGGAAGTTGCGGGGAAGCTATGGAAGTGCTTCTTGACTTGACTTGCTTTTCCTTTTAACAAAAAAGTAGAAAAGAAAACAACTTGCAATAAAGATGCTCCTAGTCCTTGCTTTTTCTACCGTGCGCGCTTGAACACTGCTGACTGCTTGAAGAATGCTGAGTTATTGCACGCGTAATTTCGTCAGCATTATGAGGAAGGTGCGTGGAACCTACGCAGGTGCTTTGATTGAAATTTGAGATCCAGCAGGACTTGACTTGCTTTTCCATTAATAGATGGAATCGTCGGGGAATTGTAATGGGAAGGTGAAGCGAGTAAGACACCACGGTTACATTGCTGCATGCCAAAATGGAAGGGCAAAGAAATGTGAAGCACAAGCTGTGCGAGGAGTTTGGGAAATTGGTGTGACTGAGCAGAGAATCTCTGGAATTTAGTGGTGAATTTCGGTAGAGGTTGTGGAGGATCAACATGAACAGTTCCAAAGCTAACTTAAAGACTTGGACAAATGCATTTTGAGCATTTGCTCTCACCTGTACCTGTAATTGAAACCCGTTCTGCTCTTATGAAAAATCCGTCTCGACATAATATATGCTAGACTGTTTGTAGCTCTCGCTCCTTTTATCTATTCACTTTGATAAATGTCGGGCCAAACTTTATTCATTTGTCGGTCAATCCATTCTAGGAATTTGTTCGCAACTGGTCCCCTATCAGATGATAAGGATGGACTTTTGTGATTTTCATAAGAGGATTTTTACGTAAAGAAATCACAACTATATCTAGATAGATGTTTACACGAACAAATAGAATATCACTTTATATATGGAATGGAAATGCTTGCTAAAGTAAAAATCGAATATGGGTCATTGCCTAAACATCGGTTGTTAAATTGCATGTATGTTGTTGTGTGTAAACCCAGCCAGCGAAATTATTTTCTTGCGTTGCCCATTTAAATGATGAAATGAATGTTTGGTTTCTTTTGGATGATGGCAGATCTATTCAGGTGCTACATGTTTTCAAATGTTACCCATTCAGCTGGTTTCAGTTTCAATTTCATGACATTGTCCACGAAAATCACTTGGCAAATCATACTAGAAAGGGTCATGAAGTGACCATGAATTTGCTCCCATAAGATGCAAGAAACTTCCCACGCGTTTTCGATTGAGCTTCCTTGAAACCCTCATCACCTCATCCACTAATAAGTGTTGTGCTCACCTTATTCTGTCATGTGAGTGTGGGGACCTGAATGTGATTATGATTCTCCGACATTCAAGAGAATGCAAAAGATGTCGGCTCAGACCCACAAAAGAGGATCCACGTCAAAACTGAGAATTCCAGGCCCAAAATGCCAAGCACTTTAAATATGTACTAATTGGAAACTTGAAGCTCACGCGGCCGTTGGTACCCCTCTCCCCTTGCTATTCCTTTCGGTCTCGAAACGAGGTATGTGTGGTAAAATCCCTTTCTTCTTAAACTAGTCCATTAGTTGGTCTATAATCTCCTTCATGGCGTAAGATACTCCTCCTCTTGAAACAACTGAACACCACAAGCTGGACGAGGAGGGAAACAGGTAGTATCTGGATGACTGAGTTGCTAGGTCGCCTGACACCTCAGCCTTCCAAGGGTCAAGTTCACATGTTTGTCTCCATGGCATGTTTTGCCACATAAGCGGACACATCAATTGTTCATGGGAGCATCTTGTGGATAATGGCCGATGCGCGTCAATTGGAAGTCAATTGAAGTTGCATGCATTTGATAAATAAAATTAATGTTTAGTTTATTTCAATTGATTATGACTCCCGTGGTAGCAACAACGCATAAATTACCCAATGCTTGTGCTCTTTTTAGCCAGCATGCACCGTTGTGATAAAGGAAAAGTTGCTTTGCTTGGATACATGGAGGAAAGGAAAAGAGAAGAATTTTGAATTCCCTCCCACTTCTTCTCACCAAAGTTGCAAAAACTTACTTCATTTGTCGCGACCTAAAATTTCTCTCGGGCTAATGGATTGTTAAGACTAAGCCTAACTCGGGCCCTCCCAAGCCCTACCAATTCACAACTTAGGGTTTAAATTTTTAACATGCAAAAGTTTTCATGCTTGGAGTCGCCACTAATCTATTTGTGGTAGGTCGATTAGAAACCTAAATAAAACATAAGGAGATATGTTTTATTCCTACGAACCAGAGATTCTAAGCTCGGGGACTTGGTTACGCTAGGTCTAGTCTAACGCCCTTTCGGTACCTTTTCTTTTCAAAAAAAAAATGTTTTGGCAGACAGTTTGGATTCATTTTAACTTAGTCACTAGCATGTGAGGTGATCATGCGGGTGCGCAAACCACCAATTTAACACCCAGAAAGCATCAAATAAATTGCAAGTTTGGAAGAATTACTTACCTGGAAGCAACGTAAGCATCTGCATTGTTAGCTAGAAAATCACATTGACACCCTAATATGATTTCTAATTAACAAGCAATTCACTCAATTTCTTTTTTGGATTTTCACTTATTTAAATGAAATCTAACCTATATGCAATGACATGCGAAAATGACATGCGATTAATGCAACCTAGCATGCAAACTATATGTCGTGCGACGACGTGACCTATTTCTAATGACAAGACGAATGATTATTTTTGGTATTTTCTCAATTTAAATTCGGAATAATCAAAATGCCTAAATTAACATGCAAACTATGATGACTTAATCTACCCTAGCATGATTTCTTTTTAGGATTTTTGTTAAAATTCGAAATAATAAAATAACCTGAATAATCTATTAAGATTAGAATATTACTTAATTTAAACTAGGAAATAGATCATCTCAAGTCCTAATTTAAATTAAACAACTACTCTATCTTCTAGATATATTTAGGATTCCTAGACATGCAAAAACTCTAATTCAAATCTAATTAATATTTTTTGAATTTTCTGTTTATTTGAAAAGGGAAAGCAATTAAATAAACAAGGATAGCAACCACATTCAAAACGTCCACGCGATCCGCCATATTTGTTTCAAACTCGGATTAGGCACAAAAATCAAACTATCGGTCATATCTATAGGGTTATAGATATCGACGGAAAGCCGATTATTCAAATTTGGAAAGCGGATAAAAATCATTATCGTACCCAAGTGGTTATGGATAGGATAATAATTTTCCGTATCACCGCGTATCGAACCTTAGGGATAAAGTCGGATAGTCGTCCAGATACGTTGCTAAATTAGGAAGTTTTCCTAATTTTGAATATTTAAAAATATTGCGGATATATAGAACATTATCCTAAGATATCTAAATATCCACATGATATTCACGAAATATTCAAACACCCATATTAGGAAATTAAATATTCTGAAAATATCGGATAATGTTGAATTACCTAATTTGCAGATAACTTCCAAATTCGAATTGTGGATCGGGATCGGACTCGGACGACGGGCGACGCGGCGTCGGCGCGGCGGCTCACGGTGGCGTACGGCGACGGGCGCGGTGGATCACGAGCAGCTGTCTCTCGGTGGATCACGAGCAGCTCATCGGCATCGGTGTCGCAGTGAGGACTCCTCAGCAATGTACTTGACTCGGCAGAAGAGTGCTCTTGGTTTTGCTTAACAGCAACGACAGAATCAAGGAACAACGCTGGAGAATCGTCTAAGGCTTGCTGGGATCGGAAGTTCAGTATAGATTTGTGGGCTTTCGTCTGGTCAAGCTTGAGTCCGTTGAAAGTTTGCTGGGAATTTGCTATTCGTGAGTGGCCTTGGCAAAATTAAAGATTGAACAAGCTGCAGCGAGGACAGGTTTCAAACGGTGCAAGTCTAGAGGAGCCTCTGCTGTTGAAACGTTGTTGGATGCCAAGCGGGAATGTCAGGATCCGTTGGAGTATTGCTAAACGACAAGTGCAACGAAATACCAGCGACGCCGTGGACAAAGACGTCGGCAGAGTTAGATGCGGGGCTGTTGCTTCGTGATTCAGCAAGGCTCGTCACAGCAAGAGCAACAGGTGGAGACGTGAAGCAGCAACGACGGGCAGCAGCAGGACCGTCGTCGCGTAGGGTGAAGCTCGGCGGGGTGACGGCCGTGAAGAGACTCAGCCGCGAAGGGACTCAGCCGCAATGCTCCTTTCTCTCTCTCCCCCTTACTCTTACTCTCGCTCACGTGTGTCTCTCAAAAATCGTGTTCTGAAAATTGTGAGAGCCCCCTAAAATCCTGACCTAATGATGTATATATAACACTAATCTAGGTCAATTAGATGGGCTCTCTAGTCCTAATGGGCTTAGGCTTGGGCTTAGATTTTAATTTAATTTAAATGGGCTGAATTAATTAAGGATAATGGGCTGAATTAAGCTCAAATTAAAACAACCGAGCCCGTTTGACTTGTAATTCCCGGCCCTTGCATTCCAAGCGAGCCGAGTCCCATTCGATGAAATTTAAGCTCGTTCGTCACTGCCGATCTGATGCAAAAAATGCAATTAAATTAAATGGACCTAAACTATATGTTTATGCAATTTAAATATTTTTGTTTAGGGGTTAAAAATTTAATCCCTAATTTTCTATGCAAATTACACTAAATGATACGCCAAAATTTAGGTGTCAACATCATTTTTCTCCCGTTCCCTCCTTCCCAAATAAGCATTAAGGTGGTACCTCGGAAAATCGAAGCATAAATATGGAAGGATGAAATATAGGGCAGCCTTGCTTTCTTTGCATAAGACTGTTTACCCAAATAAGGCTTCGAGATGATTAAATTTTTTTTTTTGGGAGTAAAATGTCAGTATTATAGAGCGAATGAAGTATAGCAGTTTAGGGGTATCCCCCAGCATTACAAATGATGCTAATAGTTCGAGAAGATGGAGGTAGGAAGCCTCCATATAGTAGCCAATATAACATTTTTCTGAGAAGGTTTAATGTTCGCTCTACCTCTTACATTTTTACGCACGTTGGCCAAAATAATATGGATATCAATTGACTTGTTTTGAAACCGTCTTCGGTTGCGCTCCATCCATATGCCATAAATGGTTGCTAGAAAGAATACCTTAAGGAGTCTAGCCGCCAAATCTTTGCCCTTTGTTGCCCTAATTATTCATTGAAGTTCCTCATTTCATCCTCCCAAAAAATGCCTAATCCCCTGTTATGTAAGGATGCTACGCTATATTATTCCTACATTCTTAATATACATTAACTAACTTAGATTACAATATAATTCCTCGTACCTACAGGAATATTGTATAAATGTAGATTGGCGATATGAATAGGGAAATTGCCTTCATTGAATAATGATTCGGGTAGTTCAGTAGCTTTTTTTTTCTCTCCGTAGAGGAGCTTCCATCCCTATCCCAATGGTGATAGTCCTCCCTCAAACCCTAAACTGGCCAGTCCCCCTTTCAAATCCCGCTTATCTCCAAATCACTTGTGGGTAATCCCATTCTCTCCTCTCCCCCACTACTCCTGTCCGTAAAAATCCCCTCTTTACTCATGCCCTAATCAAGCTCCCCCTTACCATTGTCAACGCTTTCCTTTGAGGCGTGGAAAGCTCTGACTTAGCACTTGTCTCCTTGTGTCCAGTAGGTTACCACTCCAAGCAGAAGGACCATGGTGATTTTAGGTTCGGCGAGTATCCCATTTTCCGTATAGACAACCACCCTTCCTTCACTACCACTTCCCCTGTAAATCGAGTCACTCACCGACCGCAACCCCAGGTTCCCGGTCATCCCCAACCTTCCTTTCCACCTCCCATCCCTATCCCTATTTAGCAATGGGAAGAGTTCTCAACCCAGGGGGATAAATAGCGCTTTGTCAACACTTTCAACTCTGAGACAGAAGGTTCAGAAGCCAACGCCTAAAGTAGTTCAATCACAAGTCCAGTTAAGTTTTTTGCATTACAGGGAAACTCAAAGCACGTTCGTGCCGCTACCTCTAGAAGAGTAGCTTAGTATTCCTCAAAGGAATGGGGATCGTTTTGGTGTTTGACGGAAAGAGCCTCTCTCAGAACAGGATAGTATAGTACACCTTTCTCCAGAATCTATGGACAAGGAAGATGATAATGCAGCTCGGGTGGCTGCCCTGTGTAGAGAACTGGGAAACCTCTGGTCAGTAGACGACCTTGTGCTGCTAAAAGGTGACATCCCTGTAGAAAAACAAAAAGAATGCGCATTAACTTTGTATGGGAAATTGTACTCGAAACCAAATGTCAATTTTCAAGCTTTCCTTAACACAATGAAGAGATCATGGAAAACGGACCAAATAGATTGTGAGCTCATTGAACCGGGTTTCTTCTCCTTTTCCTTTACTTCTTTAGAGGAAAAACGGAGAATTTTGGATTCAGGCCCTTGGTCCTTTTCGAGTAACTTACTTGTCCTTCAACAAGGTCATCCGGATACCCTCGACCATTGCTACGAATTCACGCACTGCACCTTTCGGGTTCAACTAACAGGCATCCCCCGAGGGAGGTTAACAGTAGACGTGGCTCGGGAAGTGGCAAGGAAAATCGGCGAAGTGGTAGAAGTGAAACTAGACTCAAGAGGAGGAGGCCCTAATAAAATCTGTAAAGCAAGAGTTCTTTTGAATCTGTCCACTCCCATAAAGACAGGCACCTTAGTAGATCTGGAACACAAGAAAATTTGGGTGGACTTTAGATACGAGAGACTCCCGCACTTCTGCTATTCGTGTGGGAGGATAAGGCACTATGCGTCCTACTGCAAGGAAGTTCCCTTTGAAGAATCAGGCCTCAATGCAAACAATAGGGGCAAATTTGGGCAATGGTTGAGAGCGGAAGTACGAGAACCTAGCCCCTTTTGGAAGATCTTTTACGGCAAGAATATCCCTATCCCTGAGGAAGAAGAGGTAGTTCCGGAAACTCAAAGGGAACTCATCCCTAGAGAGCTTGCACTATCTACATCAAAAGGCAAGGCTGTTATTGGACTGATTGAAGACATACCTCGGGAGGAGAGTTCAAATGAGAGAAATCAGCCAGCTGGATTGTCTGGAGATAATCAGATTGATTGCACAAACCAAGATCCCCAGATGTTTATGTCAGGGTCGACAAAGAAGGGTGGAAGTTCGAAGCATCCTAGAAAGGCGAAGATAGGAACGAAATCTTTCAAGAAAGTGGTAGCATCAAGGAAAGAGAAAAAAATCAACCCGCTAGGAATATGTCAGATCCTCTACCCCTCCATAAATGAGGAGACACTCCTCGATGCTCCAATCAAGGTGGTAGATGGAAGAAATGACTGGGCTCTGGTGGCTAGCCCTAAGAAGCCACCGCGGATTATACGAAACTTTTGAGCTGGAACTGTCAGGGGCTGGGCAATCCCCTAACAGTCCAGCATCTCAGAGCCTTAGTGGCTCAAGAAAGGCCTGATTTAGTCTTCCTGATGGAAACTAAAAATAAGAGAACAGTTGTTGACAGAGTGAAGAGGAGAACCAATTTCCAAAATATAGAGATTGTCGACCCTGTAGGAATTGTAGGGGGTATGGCAGTGATGTGAAACGAAGTGGTGTCGGTGATGGTGGAAGAATCCTCTAGAGAAGTTATTAACTTGCTATGCAGGGATCAAGAAAGTGGAACTCTCATGCGCATCACCTTTCTGTATGCCCCCACAAGCTTCCAGGAAAGGCTCAGGCTGTGGAGCCATTTACAAGTGATAAGCGCAGCTAATCACCTCCCTTGGTTATGTGTTGGGGACTTTAATGAGATCTTGTACCATTAGGAAAAATCTGAGGGTAATGGAGCGGAGCACTACAGGCTAGTAGCATTTCAAGATTGCTTAAACAGATGTTCACTCATGGATATTGAAAGCAAGGGTTGTGCATTCACTTGGGTCAACAACAGGGAAGGAAGAGCACTGGTGCAGGAAAGGTTAGATAGGGCCCTTTGTAATATAAACTGGAGAGTGTGTTTCCCAAATGCGGAAGCCTTTGCACTGCCTGCAATAGGGTCCGACCATAGTCCAATTTTGCTATCCCTCCAACCAAACAGGATTAAAAGGAAAAAAGAATTCAAGTTCGAGGCGTTTTGGCTAGCCGATACGAAGTGTAAGGAGCTGGTGAAAGAAGTTTGGGGTGAACTGGAAGACAACCCAATACTATTCGCTAGGAAATTGAAAAAGACCACTGAAGCTCTAAAATTATGGAGTAAGCAGAAATTCTCCAATGCCCACAACCAAATCGAGATCCTAAAAAGAAGACTTACGATCCTTACAACTTCAGGAAATGGAGGCACAAGCAAGAAAGAAATGCAGCAAATCAAAGGGTAAATACAGAATTTATGGAAACAAGAAGAGCAATATTGGAGTATGCGATCTCGCATTAATTGGATTAAGTGGGGAGATAAAAACACGAAATATTTCCATGCAGCTACGGTCCAAAGAAGACAAAGGAACAAAATTTCAATGCTGAAAATTGATGATACTTGGTGTAGAGACCCAAAAGTTATTAGCCAGCACATTGCCAGTTATTACGATTCCTTGTTCAAGACAGTGGGTACCAGGAACTTCAATCCAATACTAGACCAATGTGCCTTTCCTGGCCAAGAAGAAATGAATGAGGCTTTGATGGCATCGGTTACCTTAGAAGAAGTAAAACAAGCTACATTTCAGCAAGGAGCTACAAAGGCCCCGGGACCTGACGGGATGAATGGCCTATTTTACTAGCATCATTGGGAGGAATTACAGCACGATTTACACGGACTAGTCAACTCCTTCTTCCAATCAGGACACCTTGACCCAGATCTTAACAAAACACGCATCGTGATTATCCCTAAAGTTACAATCACAGAAAGCATCACACAATTCAGACCTATCAGCCTATGCAATTTCAGCTACAAGATCATCTCTAAGGTGATGGCGAACTGCCTTAAGCCCTGACTCCCAAAGCTCATAGCAATAGAACAGAGAGCCTTTGTGAACGGGAGACAGATTCAAGATAATATTTTTATAGTCCAGGAGATCCTTCATCAGCTAAGAGTTCGGGAGAGAAAAAAGAAGTTCCAGGCGATCCTAAAGTTGGACATGCAAAAAGCTTACGACAGAGTTGAATGGGACTTCCTTTGTGCTAGCATGAAGAAAATGGGCTTCTGCGAAGAGTGGGTGTCGTTGGTGAAGGAGTGTATCTCCTCTGTCACATTCAGTGTAAAAGTGAACGGAGAACCTTTAAAGTACTTCCAACCTTCTCGGGGAATTAGACAAGGAGACCCACTATCTCCTTACTTGTTTATAATCATGGCGAACATGCTATCGTCCCTACTAAGAAAGGCTGTAGAGGATGGGAGTTTGAAAGGTATCAAACTAAACAGGAACTGCCCTACCTTGTCACACCTGCTATTCGATGACGATGCTATCTTCTTCCTGGATGGGAATATAGATGAATGTCAAAATCTGGCCAATATCCTAAACCAATACTGTTTCGCATCGGGACAAGCAATCAATTTAAACAAATCCGAGATCTTCTGTAGCACAGGCTGCCCTCAAAACCTCAAAAGCAACATGGCGTCTGAACTAAGAGTACCAATCATGGAGAAAACTGGGAAATATCTTAGCATTCCATCAGATTGGGGACAAACAAAAAAACATATGTTCGCGTGGATACTAGAAAGGGTAAACATGAAGTTGGAAGGCTGGAAGGAAAAGCTGCTCTCAAAGGCGGGCAAGGAGATTTTAATCAAAACAGTGGTACAAGCTCTTCCCCAATATGCAATATCCATATTCAAAATCCCCATTTCGATGTGCAAGGCAATTGAGCAGAAAATAGCCTCCTTTTGGTGGAAACAGAACTCATCTAAATCAGGTATCCACTGGAAAAAATGGGAACTTCTCAAAGAAAGGAAAATAGATGGTGGAATAGGTTTTAAGGATCTAGTTACTTATAACAAAGCCATGCTAGGAAAGCAAGCATGGAGACTTGTTCAAGATCCGATAGCATTGTGGAGCCAGCTACTTAAAGGTATTTACTTCCCCAACGGAAATCTATGGAAAGCCACAAAGGGATCCCGCCCCTTATGGGGGTGGCAAAGTTTACTAATGGGAAGAGATGCCTTAAGCCCAGACGTGAAATGGCTAGTCGGGAATGGAGATTGCATTAACATCAGAGAGGATATATGGCTGGATCGGGGATTAATAGGTGGCCCAGCAAACCGAGATGACCCACAAAAAGTCGCAGAACTGATCAACCAGGAGACAAAAACATGGGATGTTAATCAGTTACAAAGGATGTTTCAAGGGGAAATTGAGAGCGAAATTATGGCCATACGGTTAAAGCCAATCCCGGACAATGATAGACAAATTTGGACAGGAAACTCATCAGGGGAATATTCGGTAAAACAGGGTTACTCCAAGCTACGAGCTGTGTCAACCAAGCTAAATACAGATCTAGCGTCCTCCTCTTATCAGCAGCCCCGCTCACTATGGACAAAGATTTGGAAACTACAAAACGAGCCAAAAATCCGCTTCTTCCTATGGTGTGTGTGTCACAATGCTCTGCCTACATCAGAAAATCTATACAAAAGAAAGGCCTTACCCGACCCTTTATGCCCAATTTGTAGGGAAAACCCAGAAACAACAGAACACATATTCGCCCATTGCAGCTGGACAAACAACATCTGGTCAGATCCGAGGCTTCGAGTGGACGTATAACCAGCAAATTTATCAAGAATGGATAAATGGTTCGACAAATCCCTTACCAACATCACAGAACAGTCCGGCCGAGAGGTGCTTGCGGGAATTCTCTGGCAAATCTGGAAGGCAAGGAACGCCTGGGTTTTCCATCAAATCAGCCCAAGATCAGGAGCAATCGTTGATGAAGCAATTAATCTAAACGGTAACTACTGGGAGCAAAACTTACCTGTGTCGGGGAGTTGGCGGGTGAAATCCAAGGCAGCGCGATGGACGTCCCCAGAACAGGGAAGCTGGAAATTTAACGTAGATGGGTCGTGGACCGAAGGGGAAATAGAGGGATCGGTGGCTGGGGTATGCAGGGATCACAGAGGTTTTGTGTACTGCGGGGTTTGCTAGAACTGTGTTTGCTTCCTCCCTGCTGGAAATTGAAGCAGCAGCAGTGAAGGAAGCTCTGCGCTGTATGGGAGAAGAGGCAGCGACGAAGAACATTCCAGTGCTGGAAGTCTACGTACAGTCAGACAACGCTGCTTCAGTAAAATACACTCATGACCCAGCTTTGAGCCCATGGGCTTTGAGGAGTCTGTTTGAGGAATGTAACAAGTTACTCTCCCAATTAAAGAGGGTTTCTCTAGTCCACTGTCCGCGAGAAACCAATCAAGTAGCAGATTGGATCGCCAAAAATCATCGAAAAGGGACGCTTCCATCCAACCGGGTGTCTAGACCGCCCCAATCTCTTTGGGATTTATTTTGTATTGATGCTAGTCATCTTCACTCTTGTAATCCTCTGTTGAAAGAATGAATGGAAATCTGCATTTCGACCAAAAAAAAAATAAAAATAAAAATAATGATTCGGGTTGGTTTGTGCAATTACAAAGGTGTTACATACGAGTCCTTCTCGAAGGGGCAAATTCAAATAGGAGCAAGCAGGCAAAAGCAATTTTTAAAATCTGGCTTTATTTAATTGACCAAGAGAAGAAATTACAACAGCCTTTATTCATTTAATAAAACACAACCAAAATGGTGAACACGGGTTTTTGTCATGGACTTATGACACACCACATACCTGAAACCAGACTTGCCTAAATCATGAAATCCTTGATGCTCATGCTCTAAGATATAGAACTACCCAAATAAATTTTCGTGACAATGATAGACTCCCATGAAATAATTGTCAATTGTCATGTCATGCTCGAAGCCTCGATTTTCGATTTTTCCTGATCCTTGTACTTCGTTTTCAAATGGCCAATCAGATAATTTACGCCGGCCTGTAGAACTAAATCCCAACTTACATTTTTCTCATCACTATAATCCCCATGATAGCATAAATGTTCAGTATTACTCTTTAAGTTTTGATCGGACCAAAAAAAAAACTCTTAAGTTTTGCAACGTAAAACCTAAAGTGAGGGAAGTCTCAAGCCTTATTAAAACTTAAATCAAGGTCATCCTCTCGATCACCCAAGTCACTTTTATCTCTCTCCTTAAATTTATAATTTGCAACATTTTGAATATATTTTATTCTTTTAGGGTCACAATATATTTCCGAAGTAGAATCTATTTTGTTAACATGTTTAGGGTTCGTTTGGTAATCATTCTGTTCCTGGAAATAATTTCTGCTCAGAAATGATTTTTTTAATTATGTTCCTAGAAACAATTTCTGAGTATTTGAAGGCGCTTGGTAACGGCCCAAAATTTCTATTCCTGAAATAGAAAAAGAACAAAAATGCGTTTTGTAACTATACAAAATTTCTTTTTATTAATAATATTTTGAATTTTTTAATATTTATTTCTCTTCTTTTTATTTTGTTTTTCCTTCCTTGGCCCATGGCCGACAACTGGCCACAGGCCAAGGTTAGCAAGGGCGTCTTGACCCTCGCCGGCCACAAGCGAGGGCCACCCTCGCCGGCGAGGGTGAGGGCTGGACCCTCGCGGCCTGGGCGAGGGCCTCCCTTAAGGCTCGCCGCCTGGGCAAGGGCTGGAAAAGGCCTGCGAGGGCGACCCTCGCCCAGGCCGTGAGGGTCTAGCCCTCACCCTCATCGGTCCTGGCCTGTGGCCAGTCGCCAGGAAAGAATAAGAACCGGCCACAGTCAGGAAGGAAAGAAGAAAAAGAAAAAGAAAATTCTCTTCTATTTCTTATTATTGTTCCCAAAATCAAGAATCAACAATTTTTTTTATTCTTGATTCTATTCCAAAACTGACTCCCGGAACAAATTTGTACCCGGGAATAAAAGAATAGAATCAGTCACTTTTTGGCAAGTTACCAAACACACCCTTAATGTACTGCCTCAAATTAAAAATGGAAAAAAAAATACATGATAATATGGTGGACATTATAGTTCACGTGGATGGCAACTTACTGGTTACATGATGGAAGAAATAAACACACATATGCATAGATTAATTCAGATAGTGAGAAAGTGAACAAAAAGGCACAATTAAATATGGAGACCTGTGTTTTTGGTAAACAGTCGCATGGGCTTGATTCTAGGGCTTAAGTTAGTATAAATGATTGAGCATTTGTCCCCACGATTCCGATTCGGAGTATGCTCCTGTCCAAATCCCTAAGGTAAAATAAGAACGACCCCCATATTCAAACCTCCCATTTTACCATTAGCAATAACTTGTCCTTTCTTCGAGATATTCCCCTGAAAAAGGGGAGATCTCTGCCCGTGCGGAGATAGAGCAACAGAAGTTTTAAAAATGTAATATATATTTTAGGAAAGAACACGAAATGCAAATTTTTCACATGGTAAAGTGTATTTCTTTTTCCCGATGGTGCTTTTAATAATTGGGCGTGCTTGATGGATGAATCCCTCCCTAAAAAAAATTGAAATCCAGGATGTAATCAGGGCAAAAAACATTTGTCAATAATATTTTTCTATTAACACCAGATATCTTAAATGGAGAGTCTTGGCAGCGTATTATTGTGCTAGCTTTCTTGAGGTAGCCGGCTAATTACGGTCATGCTCTTAGGTCATAAAAAAAAACACCATTATGTCTTAGGAAAAGCTTTTATTTAATTAAATTTGCATATATTGAGTGGATTAAGTGTAGCTTTTCTTTGTTGATAGTTTGATTGATTCCTTAGTTTGCTTTAATATCAAATTAAATGGATTTTTTATTTAATAATTATAATTTTCTTAGAGATTCTTTCATTCCATGTCTCCGTTTTTTTTGAAGTGGGAAAAATGCTACAAAAACTATAGATAAGTCTCATAAAAAAATTATATATATATATATTTCTCCTGTTTTTTGACTTTTAACTTATTATAGTCTTCCCATTAAGTAGGATTGATTTTTTAAGAGCAATTCTTGCGATAAAATGTATATATTTAGACTGGCTTTCAATATACATTTTTTGGCCATTTATCGGTTTGACACTAACGGTTCCACATTCGTAAAGTGTATTTCAAACATTTTGTCATGCAAATTTTGAATTCGAGCTCAATCAGATATTAAATTTGTGGGGTAACAACTCAATAAATAAAAACTCGGTTCAATGTGTGAAACTCTTTCTTGGGAATTAATCATTTGTGATAGGTTGATTAAGAAAGAAAGGTTGCGGAGTGTGTTAAAAATTAATTGGAGGATAGATGTAGAAGTGATTGGGACGAAGGCGTGACCCTCGCTGGCACCGGAGAAGTTTAGTATGGGAATTAGCTTCCAGAGAGATTTATTTTGGAATTACTTTTGTAGAGAGATCCATCTTGGATAAGAAAAAGTCGTCACAATCTCTCTCGTGTTTTGTCTAACTAGTATACCAAAAATAAAAATAAAACGATTCTCTTATTGGACATGGTTTTTTTTTTTTCGGAACTTATTGGATATAGTTAACAAATGCTCTTCGAGTACGGATCTCGTATTGACTCTACATTTTTCAGTGGCAAAGATTAACAAGAGGTTTTTTTTTGTTTTTTTGCCAAAATATTAACAAGTCTATTGTGCACCAAAAGCCATGCTCTCGATTGCTTTTCCTTTTCATGCCGTGAGAATGGTCATGTACTAGAACAGAAAAAAGAAAAAAGAAAGAAATACTGAATTTATGGGGCCATTTATGATCCTGCGCTTTTGTGCACATCGGTTTCGCCATATCCCTCTTGTCATCCATTCGATGCATGGTGTTCTAATGTCAGACATCCATTTGATTTGTGTCATCGTATTGGTTGTTCAATCGAAACTTTGTCAGTGCCAATCCTCAAATTCAGCATGATAAAATCGATGTGTTCAAAGCCACTGGATCGGAGCAAAGAATACGTATGTCGTAATATACAACATTGCGACTCGTCATAGTAATTAAGCCCAAGATCATAATGACGTAGAATAAAATTGTTCTATGACTTTACGATGTAGTATGATAATCAAGTGTTGAAACGGTGTAAAACAGAGATGTGCACCTAAATATATTTCGGAATATGAATGGAATCAACACTGACGCAAGTTCCGCAGGAACTGGACGCGTGATTTCCGTGGACTGACGACAAAAGTGAACTTCAATTCTGCCTTCTTCTCGGCAGAAATTAATAATGATAATAAGAAAAAAGATGATAAAGTGAGAGCATCTCACACTTCTTGTGGACCTTCCACGGATTGTGTGGTGGGTTAGAAATTGGAATATGAAAGAAAACCCAGATACATCTGCACATCTCTCTAATAGAAAGTGTTCATTTTGATCCCAGCAATGGAATGACATTCGGAAAATATCTGGTTTGCCAAATAATATAGAAGGTAACACAAAGGTTAAATATATTTTGGGCCTCATGCTAATTACGTCTACAAAAATTGTAAGTTCAATCCTTTAGGGTTTGCTTAGTTGGTTGAGGAGTCGGAGATTTTCGTATTAGAAGCTGGAGGTTACATATTCAAATCTCATCAAAACTACTGTAAGTCGGAGCGTGGTGTTCCATGGGCGTGATTCTTTTCAATCGGTAGCTACAAGAACCTTCGAATAGGTCTTCTCCTCAAATTTTTTTTTTCATTGCCTTTTATAATGTCAGACGAGATAATTATGAAATTCTAATGCTATTAAATGTTAATAATGGGTAAATGAGTTCCCTTTAATTAGCCAAGAAGAAAAAGATATTGTCAGATGATTTTAGTAATTTCCCACGTTACTAAGATGATCATCCAGAAAGGATTATTTAAGAGATTCGTTTTGGTTAGTGAGAGATTTTTCATTGCTCTTATTAACAAACACAAATAGTGTATAAAGATATTAATGAAATGATTAACACGACGATTAAGAGGGGGTGAATTGATCGTTTTTAAGAAAATTAAAACTCTTTCGTGGAGAACGTGTACTGTGCTGCTGTAGGAGGGTAGATTGGTTTGTTCTAAGAAAATTAATAAAACTTTTCCGTGAAGAACGCGTCTAGTATGTTGCTGGAGGAGGGAAGCAGTTATGCGGAAGCGGTAACTTCTACCCAACAGATAATGAAGGAGTTTGACAGATCAAAGCGATGCAAGACAGATTTATAGGGCTCGGCATTCCACTTGACCTACTCCACTCACAACAAGGCCGAGTCCCACTAAGCAATCCTCGAGATTTTATAATTTGTAGAGGGTGCTGCTTCTGCACAAAGCTCAGTGGATGATCCTACAAAACATGAGTACCCCTTACAACTCTATAACTCACTAACTTCCTAAATTGCAGAAGCGCAAATTTCTACAGAGAAATACAATCATAATTACACAGCTTCTATACACGAGCATAGACTAAGATTGTTTCAAGCTTGAATTGACCTAGATTATTCATTTAATTTCAAACCCAATCATGTTGTTGCAGAAATTTATAAAATTTCATTCGTAAGAAGCCTATGCCATCTAACTTTAACGGCTCATAACTTTCATAACTTTCATCTAAAAATTAAAGACAGTTGACCTTATTTTTGGCCTCCCAAGGTGGCATGCTCTTGGCCACTTTTTGAAATCCGGCCCCCTCGTGTTCGTTGCTTCCGGCAAGTTTTTTCTTTACTTGTTTGTTCGGCTTCTTAGCGACTTCGCTAGGTCTTTTGAACATGAATATTTTTATTTTATCTAATTTTTCTTTTATTTTAACTGTTTTAAAGATACTTTTAATTCTCTAAATTTATTTGGGCCATTGTGGGCTTTCCAGGTCTTTTAGGCCCCAACTTATATATATACCTAGATATATATAATTAATACTACGAAAAACCTCAAACTGGTACATTTATGATAAATTTACCTCAAACTAATTTTTCGTGGTACACCTGTGACAAATTTACCCTCCATTAGTTTCTGTTAAATTTTACCGTCAAATTGCTGAGTTGGATGATACATGACAGTTGACAGATCAATCAGTTTGGGATTTTACCCCTCCATTTATGGCAGGTTTACCCATTTGTGATTTTTCGTTGTATTAATCCAATTTTAATAAAGGGTAAACTTGTCATAAATACACCAGTTTGGGATTTTTGGTGGTTAAAAAATTAGTTTTGAGTAAATTTATCACAGGTATACCAGTTTGGCATTTTTTGTGATATTAACCCATAGAGAGAGTACTATTCATTCAAAATTATTGAGAAAAAATAATTTAATTACATCAGAATACTAATGGGAACGCTTTCATATTTGACTTTATCATTTTAATCCTAAACTCCATCACCGACAACGCGGAAAATAAAATAATCGGTCAACACCAATCAATTCATGTGCCTCACTACCTGTCCAGCACGATGCAGCCTGCCTGTTACCTGTATGAAACTCAGGAATCAAGTCATACCTTTGACAAAACAAGGAGCGCAGAGACTTTTTGGGGAGCGACCTGGGGCTACAAATCGTAACACAAGCCGAGCCCACGATGGCCAGCGCGAAAATCACAGCCTGCATGCTCGCGGTCGTGGTTACGTTTTTATCGGGCGCCGAGGCGACGAATTACACGGTGGGCGGTTCTGGGGGATGGAAGATCCCTTCTAGCGCCAGCGCATATTCCGACTGGGCTAGCCAACACGCGTTCGAGGCCGGCGACGTTCTGGGTGAGTTAGAAGTCGGTTCTCGCCTGACATGAATTTTCAAATTCACGTACATTTATGAGTGCAAATTACGTATACTATCTCGATTTATGTTGAAGAAGATCCAGAATTATGGTGATTTTGTTTTGTGCGCCTTCTGAGCTTGTTTTGCAAGTAGATCTCTCATCAGAAAGTCAAACAAGGTTGGAAGCACAGATCTAGTCAACATGAATATATGAAGATACCGAGGGAGATTTTGTCTTCTTTTGGTTGATAACATGAAGGAAATAATTATAAGATGTCTTGTGTTTTATCTTCACCTGATCAAGAAACGGAAGGTTTGAATGTAATTAGACCGATCCATCTCGGCCCTGATTTGGGGTACTTGCTTTGACCATGATCAATAAGCTTCACTGTTTGATCCTTCAATTTTATTTTTTTTGGGGGCAGTGTTCGATTTCGACTCGAGCACGAACAACGTCGCGGACGTGACGAAGGAGGACTACGACGCCTGCAACGCCGACTCTCCATTCACTGTCCTATCCACTTCTCCGGCCTATTACTCCCTTGATACCGCCGGCGACTATTACTTCCTCTGCACTGCTACAGGCCATTGTTCCCAGGGTCAGAAGTTGGCCATCGCCGTCGCTGAGGCTCCGAGCGGCCCGACCTCCAGCCCGCCGGGATCCCTGCCGCCGCCATCCCCCACCACAGGCGCAACCGCATCTCCAACAAGTGTTGGCTCGCCTCTTGGTGTTGCGAGACTAGTCCTGTTCATGTCCATTTTCCTGGGCTTATTGTGTTAGTTCGTACAAGAGGGGGCATCATTGCTTCTCCTAGATAGAGGTGGAAATGTTGGTATATTTATGTCGCAGTTTGACTGGTTGATGTGTAGAGAACACGATTAGAGGAGATATTACTACAAATTCGAATTTACTTAAACTTTTAAAAATACTACATAATAAAATAATGAAATTTGCTAACATGAAATTACTGATATATTTCGACAATTAGCATCAAACAACAAGACTTCGCCATTCGCGAATCAAAAGACGTGTTATGTCAGCTCGCAGATCTATAGGATTTTTGGTACACAAAAGTTATCAATCCACACCGTTCAATCAGCCTTCCATGGTCAAATAAAATGATAAGAGCTCTAATCTTTAATGAAGAATTCCGCAACAAAGTCAGACCACACGAGAAAACTTAGCATATTAACTGGCAATGTTTTAGTATATTTCTTAGAATAAATTAGCTTGATAGCTTTAATTTTTTTTTTAACGAAACAACTTATAGTCTGAGCTTATCACAAAATTCTTTGAGACTGAGAGGAACAACGTTGAATTTGGTTTAACAGTTTCATTTGCAAGGACACTAGTGTTTTGCTAAACATAGTTACTCAAGATAAATCATGGATAAGTATACTGAAAGTCCCGAAATTTATCACGAAAGTACAATTGAGTGATAAAACTTTCAAAAAACACAATCAAATCTAACACAAACCTAGTGCCGTGCCGGCCCATCAAATCAAATGGGCCAGCCAGGCCAATCGACGTTTCATGGTGAATCGAGCCTCGCCAAGCCATGGCGAGGCCGACTCCGCTAGCGCTAGGTGAGGGAGAACCCAACGATAGCGAGGTCGATCGAGCCTCACCAAGCCATGGCAAGGCCAACCCCGTTGTCGCTAGGCGAGGGAGAACCCAACAACGGCGAGGTTGGCATCGCCTTGGCTAGGCGAGGCTCGCCCTTACCAGTGGTTGGCAGGGGGAGCTTCACTAGAGGCTGGCGAGGTCGACCTCGCCGGCCCTAGCCTCTAGCTAGTCACCGGATTGGCCAGAGGGAAGAAGAGCAAAAAAAACAAAAAAAAAAATCGAAAAATATGTTAAAATGTGAAATAATTACCACGTCAGTGTTGGTCGGATGTACTAAATTGGCACAAATGCAAAAGGTTTATGACTAAATTAGCAAAATTAAAAGGTTTGGGATTGAATTGGCAAAAATGTAATAAGTTTAGGACTAAATTGGGCTTGCACGTGAGAGGGTTGTTGAAAATACCCCATGTCGCTAGACAATGATATATATATATACTCTTTACACTTATTAGCTTTAACTTTTCAATTGGACTTTCGTATAACCACGTTGCTTATCCAAAGAGCGGTCTTCAAGTGGAGTCGATGGCACGACACAAAATCTCAAAGGCTCGACGACGATTAACAATGTTTTTCCGGTGTCGGCCCCAAAAATAGATGACAATATTTTCTAATCTGTTCTTCACCCGAGTTTATTTTTGTTGCGTAAAAAACATCAACTAATTTTTTCTGTGAAAACCCCACATCCTGGTTCTCGGATTCGTTTCATCATGTGCATTAACGTGCTTCCATGCTCTCATTGCCTCTTTTTCCTCTTCCATCATTACGATTTCTTTTTTATTAGAGCTTTTTCTCCTATCATTTCAATGAGGTTAGACTTTTGTATTATTTAAATACAAATTTGAAAAATTCGAGATTCTTATGCACGCTGATGGGCTTCACGTAGCAAAATCGATTCCCAAAAGTCAAAGGCTTTGCTAGGCTGGTCGGTGCTCCAAGGATAGATTCGATTCCGCGTATGGATATTAAAATTGTCAAAAGTTATATACGACGCTCACTTTAATGTTAAAAATTTTCGCTTGCCAATTTTTAAAAAAAGCAATTACTTAAGTGCCAACTCCGATTTGGATCGCTGAAAATTCGACACAGTCATAGTTTATTAATAATTCCTACCTACGTAGCTCATCGACGTGCTTCGTCAGCATATTATCTCCTAAACGGCGTCGGTTTCAAGTTTTGACCCAAATTTTAAACCCAAATTCAATTTTTCCCCCAAAAACACGCTCTTTCCCTCCGCGAAGCCGCTTGCGCGTCGCGGTCGCCATCATTCACCACGACAAACACGTAAATGACAAGGACAACGAAACCGGCGGCAGAGGAAAGGAAAGAGAACGAGCTGAGTCAAGCACGCGGTGAGCTTTCAACGAAAGAAATAACCGTGTGTCTTCGTCGGCCATAATGCACCCTGGCCCTCTGCAGCTCCTCGCCAAGCCTGTCAGCGAGCTTCGAATCCACCAGCTCAATGCTCACTTGAGCATCAATGGAGGCCTGAAGGCGACGAATGGACGCGTCGAGCACGAGCATGCGCTGCCGTAACGACTGCTCCTCGCTCGACGTGTGGGCGATGTGCGCGGCGACGTCCTATGTTTCCTCAGAGAGAGAGAGAGAGAGTCAGCAAGTTCAACAACAAAAAAGAAGACAAGTATGCGACATCATTTTTATAAATGGGAGTCGTGTGGCATCGTTTTTGGACGGCTAGCCATGTCAGCTCGTGCGAGGTCGTTTTGTACATTCACATTATTTTAGTTGGAATTTCTCGTCGAAAGCACTTAAGTGATCATTTTTTTTTTAAAAATGATATATAAATTATCCGGCGAAAACTTTTGATACTAAAGTGAGTGCCGTACATAATTTTTAAAATTTCTAACGTGCTTCTTCCATTCAATTCTATTGCATCAATGTAAAAATAATGTGTTACTAAAATATCAAAACCTTTTTTCCCCTTAAAGCACAATCGACAAAGTGATTGATGAAAGCCCCATGTCATCAACATCCTACGTGGAGCCAAGCTCATGCCGACCCGACCCCGTTCCACCTGTCGCATATCCCACGTCGGTGGCTCCACCAAGGGGTCAACGCAATGCACGACAGTGATCATTCCATAAACTTCTTTAATTTTTCGTGTTTAGTCAAAATGATTCTATAAAAAAGTTGGAGCCCCAGGTGGTCTAAGAGCAAAGAGGGGTGTTCAAGTTCAAAACGGACGTTTTCTTTAAAACACAGAGGCCAATGGCAAGGCATCTGAACGGTTTTACTTTCGTGGCGGTTGCTAAGTTGGCGGCGACCGTGGCTTTACTGCCGGGATCTGCAGCACAAACTACTACGCCGCCGCTTGAACATCCGAAAGGGACGGTGACTTACACCGTGGGAGACGCCATGGGGTAGACCATACCCGCAGGCGGGGGCGGCTGCGTATCAAGCTTGGGCTAGCAGCAATATCTTCGAGGTTGGAGACATTTTAGGTGAGTTGAGAAATGATAGTTTAGTATAAAGTCGAAAGCCGTCTTCGTGACTTTAGACATTTTAGGTGGGTTGAGAATAAATCGCCACAATCAAAAAAGGCAAAAGGGATAAAAAGAAATATTTTTAAGCCGATAATCGAAAGGGAGATCCGGTTCAAATACCATGTGAAAATGTCAGATTTAAAAACTTAAACCGATAGACAGATGGAAACTACACGTATAGAGAGCATCTAAGCTCCGTAGACAGAATAATAAGAGATATTTAACGCTCACAAAGCCCGTGCTTTCATCTTCTTGTTAATTTTCTTTTTATGTTTCCGAAAAAACGAAAGAGTTCTTTTTAATTAAGTGCATGAGAAGGGATTAAGAATAAGGGTACAATCGAAAGTGCAACTTTATAGGGATGCTGATTCTCCACAAAATAAAATAAAAAAAAATGAGGGGGGAGGAGGGGGGTGGTGGATAATGAAATTTTTGAGCATTGAAAGCAAAAAGCTGGAGACATCTCTGGCCCACGCGTGGAGCAAAAGCTCTCTACTAAAAAATAAACAAACAAATAAATGAAATTATAAATATAAATATAAAAAGAGAGTAGGAAGATGACAGTGGTTTCGGGTGATACAAAACATTATTAAAATCGATCATTTAGCAACTAGTGGTTTTCCAAATCAGTGCCCTAAAAGAAGGGGAGATTGGCAGGTTTCAAGTCACGCCCATGTGACATGTCCGATTCGTTTTGGAAATTAGTGGGTCGTTCATCATGCGTGTGGTGGGGTCGGCCATCTAATCGAACCGAAAGAAAAAAAAAATCATGGACTTTTTATTCCGAGATAAATTTCCTCTTTTATTTATTATTATTATTTTTTTAAATTTCAGTTCCGAATGCACATTATTCCGTCGGCTAGTTACTAAACTAGACTCGTTATTGCCGTGCCACTTTTGGAAATGGGGTCTCAACCACTCGTGGCTAAAGTCACGAAGACGGCTTTCGACTCGTGTAACAAGGCTAACCCCCTCTCTATCTCGACCGTCCCACCGGCGAGGATCACCCTCACCACCGCCGGCCAGCATTTCTTCATATGCACCATCCCTGGCCATTGCTTGTCAGGCCAAAAGGTTGCCATCAACGTCACCACCTCCAGCCCTTCCGTCACTCCCCTGCCGAACCCCTCTGCCATCCCGCCGCCGTTCTCCTCTATCGCCTTGCCCCCCAAGGCAGCCACTCCTTCTCCCCCCGCCTCTACTCCAACATCCTCTATTGCCACTCCACCTCTGTCGCTCTCCGCCTCCACTCCATCATCCTCGATTGTTTCTCTGCCGACCAGCACCGTGACTCCAGCACATTCCACAATGAGTCCTCCACCTAAAGTGGCGACTCCATCACCCTCCGCCACCATGCCGCCCTCTAGCAAGGCCGCTCCACCATCTTCAACCCTAGCTCCCTCAGCAGTGGCGACATCTCCGGCCGAAGTTGCAGCTCCTCCCATGCAAGGGAACTCGGCACCATCAGTTGGTGTCGCCGTAGTTTTTGCAGTAATTTTGACCACGGCAGTAGCCTTATTTACTTTTCCATAATCGTTGTTGAAAAAAGGTACGTATTGGAGGAAATATACGTAACACTATTTGTTGTAACCAAAAAAATAATAACTCTGAGAAAGCAATAACAACTATAATAATGACCAAGTCAATGAGTAAATTTGTTGAATAAATCTTCTCAACACGGGCAGAGTTCACCAATGTTACAAAAAATATAGACTAGAAAATTTGCTATAAAAAATTACAACAAAATTAAACAAGATGTGAGGTGCGGCTAACCGAATCTCCTTAAGATTATTAGTTTCTACCAACAGTGCAAGGTGTTCACGAACTATATCTCCCAAGATACAACACATCGAACCCATTTGAATAAACACTATACAAATAGGACTCTGTCAAACACTTCTTGAAACCATTACACTTATTAAAATTAGCCCAAGTTTGCTATCTTCTTCATTTTACCACAGTTTACATCCTAATCTACCATGCCATAGATAAGGAGACACAACATTCTAAACTGAAGACTTCTATTTATTAATAGTCCTTGGGTACAAGCATTTCGAATTTACATCAATGATAGCCACATTAGCTTTGAAAAGGTCATTTCACAAGTACCATTTGACCACATACATCCTTCTTTGGAAAGTACAAACCTGTCAAATTCAAATATAATTTTGAAACCCTTCTTGACAAGTATGGGACCGAAAATGAGATTCTTCCGATTCTCCGGTACATACAACACATTTAGCAGGGTAATTTCTTTGCCGGAAGTGAACTTCAGGATCACCTTTCCTCTCTCATCAATCTTTGCTCATGTAGAGTTAGCCATGTGAAGCTTCTCTTCTTTCTCAGCCTTTTCGTAAGACGAGAATATGTGTTTATCCACACAAATATAATTTGTGATACATGTGTCCAACCACTAATCGTTATTGTTCGACACTAAAAATATCTCGGACACCACCACAACAGCTTAGTCTCTCATCATCTTCCTACTCTATCAAATTCAGCCATTTGGCTGCACCATTGGCCTTGCCTTTGTTCAAGCGCTTCTTGCAATCCTTAGCCCGATGGCCGGGTTTATTGCAAACAAAACATGTCCCTCGAAATTTCTGGGATTGTTCCTTCTGCTTGTCTTTCCTTGAAAAGACTTGTTCCTCTTCCTATCTTCATTGGAATTGAAAGATTCAACAAAATGTCGCCCGACTGCCCAGGCGCCGTCGCCTAGGTCAGGCGACCTCGCCGGCCCCTCGTCGGCCCTTCGCCGGCCAGATCCGCCCTCGCCGGCCCTTCGCCGGCCACCCTCGCCGGCCACCCTCACGGTGAAGAAGATGAACAGTAACAGGGCAAAATCGGAAAATTGAAATTTGAGTGAGGGCAATTTGGGAAGGGAAAAATAGGCTTCAGCATTTGTGGAATGCTGAAACCCCAAAGCTGGTCCGGACCAGCTTTCGTCTTTCGACTTTCCGGACTCGGAAAGCCGAACCAAACAGTTCAGCATTTTGGGAAAGGGGTTTTCAAGGCCGAAAGCCCCTTCCCAAAGCTGAACCAAATGGGGCCTACATCAAGATGGGTAGCTTTTGCTTTGAACCCTCTTTAGCAAAAGCCTACTTGCATTGACATATAGAAATTAGTTTGGGTAAATGACGCCAGCCGTACAAGTTGGGAATTTTTTGTGAGGCAAAAATTAGTTTGAAGTAAATGTGGTGCAGGCATTCCGCTTTGGGGATTTCTTATGGTATTAGCTCTATATTTTTTTTAAGGCAAAAAGACACTATAAGTGCCATAACTTGTGTACGACGCTCACTTTAGTGCCAAAAGTTTTCGTCGGCTCACTTAAGTGCCAAAAGTTTTTTTTTTATCACTTCAGTGCTAAAATTTTTAAAAAACGATCACTTAAGTGCCAATCTCCGGCGAGCACGTCAGCTTCAAAAATTAATAAAAAAAATGCCACGTCGGATTTCCGGCGAAAATTTGTGTACGGCACCGGAGTTGACACTTAAGTGATCTTTTTTCAAAAATTTTAGCACTTAAGTGATCGTTTTTCAAAAAATTTAGCACTAAAGTGATAAAAAAAATACTTATGGCACCAAAGTGAGCGCCGTACACAAGTTATGGTACTTGTAGTGTTCTTTTGCCTTTTTTTTTTAATGTGTCCTTCACCTCATTTTTTTCTCCCGAAAAATCAACCAAATTTCCCTGTGAAAGCCCCACGTCCGGATTCTCGGACTCATCTCATCACATATAACGTGCTTCCACGATCTCATTGCATCTTCTTCCTCTTCTGTTAGCGAGCTCTTTTTCATTACAGCTTTTCCATTATTTCAATGGGGTTAGACTTTTTGTGTTGTCTAAATTCAGATTGAAAGTTCGAAAATTCTTGTTCACGCCTCATGGACTTCACGTAGCAAAATCGAACTCCCCAAAAAGTCAAAAGCATTCGCTAGGCTTGGTGGGTTTCTCTTGAGGATTAGATTTATTCTCTATTGCAACAAGCATTAACACTCAAAAGGTCAAAATGTCATTCGAAAAATCTGAGCTCTTTTATCCCCTTATGGCTCAATCGACAAAGTGATTGATCAAAGCCCCACGTCATTAAACATCCTACGGTGCCGAGCTCGTGCCGACCCGACCCGTTCCACTTGTCGCGAATCCGACGGCGGCGGGGACTCCACCAAGGCGTCAACGCAGTGCACGACAATGATCATATATTCCACAGGCTTCTTTAATCTTTCTTTCTCAATCAAAATGGTTCTATAAAAGAGGAAGTCCCAGGAGCACCAAAGAGCAAAAGAGGGATTGAAATTCACAGATTTCGTGAGTAGGAGGAGATAAAGTTAAAGAGCAGGGGCGACCTGACGTTTCTGAGAACACAAGAGGGCAATGGCGAGGCGTTTGGTCGGTGTTATTTTCATTGCGGTGGCGGCGATGACAGCTCTGCTGCCGGGAACTACCGCGCAGGTGCCTGCGCCGCCGCCCGGACATCCGAAAGGGCCGGTGACTTACACGGTCGGAGACACCATGGGGTGGACTATACCCGCGGGCGGCGCGGCCGCATATCAAGCTTGGGCTAGCAACAATATATTCGAGGTTGGAGACATTTTAGGTACGTCGAGAAAGTACATTTTAGTATAAAACAAGACATAGAGAATACGTTATTAGTGAAAAATAATTTTAAGAACAACCTTTAGCAAACTAATTCTTGGGTCCAAAATAATGATGCTCTGATCTTTTCATGCAGTCTTCAACTTCAACAATGGAGCGCATGACGTGGCTGAAGTGACGGAGTCGGATTTCAACTCGTGCAATGGGGCCAACACCCTCTCCATCTCCACCGTCCCGCCGGGGAGGATCACCCTCGCCACCGCTGGCCAGCATTTCTTCATCTGCACCGTCCCTGGCCACTGCTTGTCGGGCCAACAGGTCGCCATCAATGTCACCGCCGCCAGCCCCTCCGGCACTCCGCCGCCGTCCTCCCCCGCCGCCCCGCCCCCCAAGGTGGCCACTCCTCCCTCCTCCGCCGCCACTCCGAAGTCCTCCGCCATGGCTCCGACTCGGTCACCATCCTCCTCCGCCCCGTCATCCTCCTCGGCCACTTCTCCGCGGACCGGCGCCACGACTCCGGCACCTTCCACGGCAAGTCTTCCGCCTAAAGTGGCGACTCCATCACCCTCAGCCACCCCGCCGCCCTCCAGCACGGCTGCTCCACCATCTTCAACCCTGGCTCCCTCGGCGGTGGCGGCATCTCCGGCCGGAGCTGCGGTTCCTCCCACGCAAGGGAACTCGGCAGCATCACTCGGCATCACCGGAGTTTCTGCAGTAATTTTGACCGCGGCCATAGCTCTATTGACTTTTCCATGATTGTTGCGGAGTCATTTTTGGTCATTACATTTTCTTTTTCTGGTTGCGCAAGATGAAAATGATGATGTGAATCGTGATCCTCGAGTTCTCATTCCCCATGCTTTTTTCTATTAAGAATAAAGAATGTTTCGTCGCCACGCTTGTGAATGTTGCATGCCATGCAATGATGTAAAGAAAAGCAGGAAAAGGGAATGACTCCTTCTTTTGTTCGTCCTTTTGGCTTCATTACAAGCCTGATCTAATCCTTCCCCTCATTCCTTCATTTCCACAAATACCAGCAACAAAGGCCGATTTACTTAGGAAAGCTTCTATGCTAGAATGAAGGAGAGATACTAGCCATTGATCAGAAGCAGGGAAGTTTCTCTGTTGAGTTTCAGGCCCATATGGTAATCTTGAGTGAAATAAATACCACGGCTTCGATCCTTTTTCAATAAAATCATCAATTATTGAATCGACAAAGCCCAATTTAATGTCTCTTTCTCCTTCAAGTTTAATTACTACAATACCAGAGTGAATATGATCTCCACCGGACATACGTAAGGCTTTAGCTGGTACTGAGAAGTGTATACCATGATTTTTCTGTCTGTTGATAACTGCATGCATTGTACAATGGATGTGAATAAGTGGACCGTTATCTCGGCAATAATGAACCAAGCTAGTATTGGCAGTGAATCCCCCTGTTAAGTTAGTGCAGACCAAACACATCTACATCTTTCACAGATTTAAGTACCAAATGCTCGGTGGTCTCCACTTCATGACAGAACCCACACTCAGAGCTTACCCTTATCTTTCTTTTACATAGGTAATCAGCTGTAGCAACGGCATCACAGCTAAGTCTCCACGAAAAGAGTCATCTTTTGGGGGCAGTCAATATTCCACCCAAGTGTCCATACCTCATTGACCACCTTGTGGCAACTGGAAGACTTGGTTCTCGTCATCTGCTTTTTCCTCTGTTACATTGCAAAGTGATATGCAGATTCAACTAAGAAAGCTCCACTTCTATTTTAGGGCCACATCACTTTATCTTCGTTTCTGCCCCAGCTAATATGAGTTCATGCACCATGGCCTGTTCCTCTCGATATATTTTCCCTCTTATAGGTTCAGTGTTCAAGGATTCGTTTCATTGTCAATAAGAACTTCAACTTTCAGGCTTCTACCCATCATCAGTGTCAACTGGATGCACCTTGTAATCCCTACTAGAATTCACCCACCTGTCTTCACATACTCTTAACTGATTTTCCATTGGCTATCTTCCATGGAACTCCCCTTTTGATCAGCTCCTTGCCTTCCAAGATACTACCGCATCCCCAAGACATCCTCCCTCCTTTTCTCGTCTCCATGAAGCTGCAATTAGGAAAGTAAAATCCCTTAAGCCTCCCTACTCAGAATTCTGAAAAAATTAGTTTGAATCCTCCAGGCAAGATCGGCAAGGAGAGCTAGGTTGAACTGAGAAAGACTTCTGAAACCCAGACCCCCTTCCAATTTAGCTTCAGTTGAGCTTCCCCAACTTCTCCACTGCGCTGTCCCCTCACTTTTCTGTTGCCCCCACCAAAATTTAGACCCAGCAGCATCCACTTGCTCACTCCACTTCTTAAGAAACTCAAAGCGAGACATTGAGCTAGTGGGGACTGCATATGCCACTGTTTTTATGAGCATTTCTCTCCCAGCTTGAGATACTAAGAGAGATTTCCAGCCTGGAAGCTTTCAACACCCTTTCTTTCGCAAAACCCAGTGCCTAATATCTTCACCCCAAAATGGGGAAACCAGAGCATCACTCACTGCAGCTTTTGAATTCATTTCCCACATTTGAATTGAAGAAGAAGCTGGATTTCTGCACATTGACTTTCTGCCCTGAAGCTCGACAGTAACGGTCAAGAATCCCTTTAAAACTTCTTCAGTTATCCTCATCAACCTGTAGGAAAAATAGTGAACCATCCACAAAAAGTAGATGGGACAACAAGGAATTGCTTCTTCGGTTTAAGGCCTTGGATCTGACCTTCCTGCACAGTATGGACTAACAAATTGAACAAGACACCGGCTACAAATAAGAACAAATAGGGAGATAAAGGGCCTCCTTGACGAATTCCTTTGAAAGGACAAATTTTTATAGGATCTTTCGCCATCTAGCAATAGCTCATAGCCCACAGATCTTTCACAAGTCATAACCCAACCACCAATGTTTCCTCATAAACCATTTTAAGCATTACACATTTTAGGAAACTCCGTCCCGCACGATCACTTGCTTTGCTCATATCAAGTTTTATAGCACCCTATCCATCAATCCCATCTTTCCTCAACTTCATATGATAGAAAGCTTCATGGGCCACAATGGTCATATCTTGTACGAGTCTACCTTCTAGGAACGGATTCTGGATAGGACTTCAGGAGTTATGAATTGAGGAAGAAAATGTTTGAGCCTATTAACTAGGACTTTGGAAATGATTTTATGAATGAAGTTACATGAACTAATGGGTCTACACCCCTTTCTTCACCTACCGCCACCGTCACTCTGTTGCGCTCGCCGTCCACTCATCTGACCATCACCATCATCGGAGGCGCGTCTACCTCTACACTATGGGCGGAAGAGATTGGAGGGGCTGTGCTTTTTTGTGTTAAATGGACTGTTTAGAATATCACGTGCTATTGATCAATATGGTGATACTCGTTACTGATTTACACAAATGATAATTCAAATTTGAGGAAATTTCCGTGAATCAAGATCGGAGATGAGACACGACCTCAACTAAAGTGACTCACTACATAGGGAGTCGAGTTGTAGACAGCTCTCAAACATAGTAAAAGATTATGAAGATGTTCATTGTACCAGTAATTCAAAAAGAACATAAACTATCGCATCTTAGGCTAATGTTTCAATGGTGCATTGTAGAGTACGCATGATTGATATGACCTATTCCAACAAGAAATCAACAAAAGTGACTGAAAATTAATCGAGATTATACAGATTATGAATTGAACTCAGCTCCGAACACAATAGATCTGAGTGTTTTTATATTACATTGTTGATTTGGTTCAGCCAAAGGATATTAAACAATAATCTCTCTCTATCTCTCTCTCTCTCTCTCTCTCTCTCTCTCTCTCTCTCTCTCTCCTATAAAAACTCAGCACTACAAGGAACCGCACGCATTACACTCGGAAGCAGAACACAGATTCGACTGAAGGAGAGCTGAATAACAGAGGGGAGACCTGAAGGAGCACATGGAAATGGCTACTCGCGTGAATTTAACGGCATGGTTGATTATGATGATTGTGGCCGGCTTCATAAAGGTCCACAGGGCGGCGGCGACGTACACGGTCGGAGATGAATTGGGGTGGACTGTCCCCTCCAACATATCCTATTACCAGTCTTGGGCTGCCTCCAAGACTTTCATGGTCGGCGACAAGCTATGTATAAGCCCCTCCTTTTACCTTGTTCTTATTCTTTCGTTTGTTTCCTATTCCTCGTACATGCGCAAGGTTTTCTCTTTCGCCATTAATTTTTCGGGCAATTAGCCAAGTGAGCTATTCAAGAACGGAGCGATTTGCATGTATATATGAGAATGAATCGATTTCCAACAACTCATATTGTCTAGCAAAATCTGACCTTTGGAGGATTTAGTTTTCGCAATCATGTAGAGGTCCAGATTTATGGATATGACTTGATCGATGTCATTGATCTCTCTCTAGATCAAAACAGAGTCATGGCTTCTCGTGTAATTTCTACAGTGTAATCGATTTGCGCGTCATATCATTCATGAAATGAGTATGCTTTGTTTCAGCTTTCAATTGGACCGGGACGCATAATGTGGCCGAAGTATCAAAGGCCGAGTACGACAATTGCACCCAGGTCGTACCTTTTCTGGGCAGTCCGGGGGACATCAAGCTCTTGGAGGGCGGGTCTTACCATTACATCTGCACCGTCGATTCACATTGCAAGCTTGGCCAGAAGCTGTCCATCACCGTCGGATCGGCCGCAGCCGCTCCGGCCTCACCAAGCAATTCCGCTCCGTCGATGCCTCTCGACTCCAGTGTCTTGGTCTCAGCATATATCACCATCGTTTACTGTGTCATTATACTTGCCAGTGAATTGAATGTCGTACGTTATATTGGATAAACGTGTTGGTGTCGCCTCTATAATGTAAGGAAAATAAGGTCAATTGTATCTTTCTTGGCCTATAAGAAAAGAGAGTTAATTCATGTGAGTTAGATTGCTGCTGTTTGTTGATTTCTACTTGTTGATTTCGATCAATGGAATCCACAAACCTGAACTATGAGCGGTGAAGTGAACACCATATCTTTAGAGAAAAGTGAAATTTGAGTCATTCATCCGGGCCCTTCCTAATTACCCCTGCATTATACAATAGGAAAGTCAAAAAATTAGGTGATAAATATAAACAAACATATCTTAAAACAATCCGCCTTCTCCAATTCACGTCCTTAACCACCTGGCTTGCAAAGGCGTAGTGCGCGCACTAATGTATATAACGCTAAGACATGTCTTGTAAGTTGAGAGAGGACCTCCACAAGTTCCATCGCATATGACTAAACCAAACGAGAAACTCGATCTGACGATCAAGAGAAGAAGTGATGAAACCTATTTAGGTTCAGATCCGGCACTCTGCTAATCAAAGTTTTGCCATCAACCGTGCTTCAAGCCGTGGCATTCACTCAATCAATTGTTTATCAATCATACAATTGACATAAAGAAGCCATAAGCAATGTCCAAAAAGATCAAAGCAGAGCAGCACAAGAAAGAGGACTTTTGATGAGGGATTGGCGGTGGGGTTCCTGGGGAAGTTTAATTCTTGTAATGCTGAAGAAAGTGACGCAAAGATAAGTTTGCACCATCTGAACTTAGTGAAGTATATAGTCATCTATCGTTCATCCAATGTCATCGGTCCAAGTGTTATTGGAGCATAAAAAGCAACCAAAAAGTACATGACTTGAAACTGCTTTTCAGTTTCTTCTGGCATTAGGTGATGTACGATGCATAAAAGGATCGATGGCTGATCACGACGTGGCCCGAGTTGAATTAAAGAGCGAGCGGTGGGTACAGCACTCGAAAAGATGGATTTCTCATCTTTGGGATGTAATGCTTACGTAGTTAATGCATCGTCTATATCGCTGCTTATGATATTCGATATTCGTAAATATTATTAGCTCGACCAAGTTAGGATTTCCTTTTTCTCCGGATATTGATTGTTCTGAGCTCTACGTCCTTAAAAGAAATTTCATCCTCGAATTACGTTTTCAAAGGTGGAACCTATGCCTCAAAAAGTTCAATGGACTCCCAAAAGCTAAAAAAAAAAACCAAGTGACTTATGAAAAGCTTTGAGTCGCTTCTTGATCCAAAAAAACAGACAGATATGATAGACCAAGATCGAGAAGCTTCGAGCCAGTCCATTGCTTTGCATGTGGATGTGAAAAAGAATACAACAGTCTATCTTTCCAACACCAACTCCAATTGAACTTGCACGATAGCATTACAGCTCTCTTATCTCTAATTGGTGCAGCCAAAGTTCTCACTTGGACAGTTCAGTTGAATGTCCTTATGAATTTCTGCCAGAACAACACTAAAGCGTGCAAGATTTTGCAATCATTTGAAATGCTTAGTTCAAGAACTTCCTGGTCTTCGACGTTGCTCAACATTGAAGTGAATGTCGATTAGACCTGTTATGCCAGCAGTGATCTTTTGACCTACTTTAACAGGGCCAACACCTTGGGGAGTGCCTGCACAATCGGGTGTAAGAGATCATATGCCCGGTAAAAAACAAAACATTATTAGACACAGAGAAAGCCACTTCTGAATCTAAGGGAAGTCTAAGGAAAGGGAGTCGAGAAACATTAAAGACTTGGTTTTTCAGGTCATACTACTGATAACATACTGTACAAACCAAGAATTCTAGATACTGCAAAATAACTTAATAGCAAGAAGACATCTGACACCAAAAAGTGACACAAAAGATTAAAGCAATTACCTGTCAGTATGACATCTCCCTCAAGAAGGGTCATAATAGAGCTTATGTGGCTAATAAGAAAAGGAAGCTTAAAAATCATGTCCTTGGTTGAACCCTTCTGCCTTATTTCATCATCTACCTGCAGTTAGAGCAAACAACTAGACTAAGATCAGTTTACATAAATGAGAATCAAGCACTCATTGTTCTGTGAATGTAAGACTGAGAATTTGACACCTTGAGCCACAATTCCAAGTTGTCAGGGTCTGGCACCAAAGATTTGTCCAGCTGAGAAAGGTTTTGGAATCAAAACAATAGACAAAATCAGAAAACTGCCAAAAGAGAAAACACTCAAACTAAAGTCAGATACTTGAAAATCTATTATAAGCAATCTATGGAACTCAGTTCTTAAGGTAAGTTTCTTCCAAGCCCACTGGCTGGCTAATCTCAAGTCAGAGTTCATCTATGTTGAATTCGCCAGACAATCCAAACTGACATCGTCAGGCAAAACCTATCATTCATCCCAGCAACCCATCATCCAGAATTTATCCTTCTGCATGACCTCAATATTGAATTTGATAAAAGGAAAATTAAGCAATAGCATTTTCACTTACCACAGAGCTAATTGGTGTGAAAGTATCTTGCCCTTTTGCTACTGTCCATGGAAGACCTGCGGACTACCAACAAGAACAACAGGGAACAGATGAAATCAATTTCATTTAGAGTTGAACGGATCCTCAAGAAGAAAAATTTTTGGATCCACAGAAAAATGAGGAAAATATTATACATGTAGGAGCTGAAAAAATAACAAAAGTAGGTTGGTCTTAGTTGATGTCCACAAAATCATAGGCCCATTAAGTTCCAGGGAATAATCATGTCTAATGTGCTGAGCTAGTTAATCAGCTTAAAAAGACTTTCCCAGTGTTTATTGCGAGGACATGTCACCAAAGGGAAGGTCTCACTCAAATGATAACATTACGATTTGACAAATGCTAAAGTTTCTTCTGAAAACTACCAGCCACCTCATCTTTGATAGCAACTTTTTTCTGAAACAAAAGATACAGCTGGTAGATAATCGAACATTTAGTACATTTCAGGAACAAAGAGAAAGGGAGGCCACCAATTCTATCCGTAAAAGATTTAAAGAAACAGGAAATACACCTTCGCAGAAGATTGGATCTCCCTAGCAGTCATATCCAGTCCAAGAGCATACCCTACAATTCATGAGCATACCAGCTTCACTACCTCAAAGATTGAAAAATCTTCTATCGAACGAAAAGCACAGATCAGAGAAACAAAATCACGAAAAAGACGGAATAGAGAGTCAACGACTGATTAGTTGAACCTTCTAGTTACTCAGTGATCCCTTCACTTAGCATCATAATATCCAAAGCCATCCACATTCAGTATCCCAAACCTCCACAATATATAGAAGTTAGGTGAAAAACAGCTCCAATTACAGATCACACACTCAACCACAATGTAATGTATTTCATGCACCATCCCAGGATCGTAATGTGCATTTAAGCTTGTATAACCGTGAAAAGGTTTGTGCTGCTTGCCCCAAAACACAATCTAATTGACTGAAACTTGAGGAAGGAAAAGCAAAGCATAGACCAGCTCCGTCAGGAAGTTGACGATTTATGCTAGGACGCATTTTGCAAGCGCCAACAACAATGGTGAAGAGCATTAATGGGAATTATAGACGAGAAAAGCATATAGCTTCAATTAGTAGTTTTCAAAATGACATCGCAGTACCTTCTCTTGATCAGGGTCAATTCAACAAGCATAACAATCTAGTCGCCGGTTAAACAGAAACTACAAAGGTAGATAGATATTCATGTCCATGATGACCAAGATATTGTACGGTTCGGGATCATCCCCCCGGAAAAATTAGCTGATTCTCCTATCCAGCTTCATAATCAACCCCCATCTCCAATGAAGTTGTATCAAGAGCAAGACATAAAGTACCATATCATTACTAGTTCGAGTCCAATACCAAATGAAACTCACTCCACCCAAAAGATCCACATAGTCTGAAGGCATCCCCAATCAATATGTGAACGACACCGCGAATCACGACGCCATGAAGCCCGGACACTAAAACGACGGCAGCAAATTCATCAAAGCGCACGAAGCGATCAACAGATTCGAAGTTACCTCCGACATAGTCCATGGCGGCCGACTCGGGAACGTCCCGGGCTTTACGCCCGATCACGACCGCGAGCTCCACCTCGTGGTGGAGCGACAGCAGCGGGGGCGGCACCTCGATCGTCCCCCCGTTTTCCAAGTACGACGACGTCGGCTTCAGGAACAGCACCGGCTCCTAGTCACCGGAAACATCGCGCACGCGAATCGTCGGCGTCAAACGATCGACGCGAACAAAGGAACCGATTCAAGAAGACGACGGAAGGCAGAGAGAGAGAGAGAGGGAGGGAGAGTGTACGGGTACCTTGGGAACGGCGTTGCCGAGCTCCTTGGCGTGGGCGGTGTAGTTGCGGCCGACGGCGACGATTTTGGTGCCGGCCTGGAGCAGCTTCTGGAGCCCGATCGATGCCATCGGCCGTGCGAAGAAGCAGCAGCAGCAGCAGAAAGTCGGTCGATCGATCGATCGATCGAGAGAGAGACCGCAGAAGAGGACGACGAAGTTGAGTGTTCCAATTGCCGTCCACTTTAATATTCTTTGTTTTTTTTCTCTCTCATTTATTTAGCCATCAACAATAAGGAAAATGTTAAAAATAAATATAAATGTGCGGAGCGTGATTAGTAGTAGTAAAGTCAAGAAATTTCGATCGATCAAAATCTAGTGATCCTGTTAAAAGGAAAAATAAGAATCTTCGGTGTTATATTTCTAACATGAGATCCATGAGATTGTACTTTCTGTGATATAGAAATTCAGAAGCCAGGCGATTAATTAATGTGTTTGTGCATACATAGATAACATCGGCGAAAGAAGAAATGCGCATGCCTGTGATAGCAAAAACGAAAAATAAGGTCGTAACCGTGTGTGTATTGAAGATAAATGTTTAGAGATGCACTTATCAAAAAACGAAAAAAAAACGCCTGGAGACTCAAATTAGTTTAGAAAATAAGTAGAGTCGTAAGATGACAAATATTTTATCGTTTAATTTGTAAAGTAGATACATTTCTTGAATTGTCAACGACATTTATCTTGGTGGATTATCAATGTGTTAAGTTACTAACTTTCATTCGGAATGTCAACCTTAATTTGATCGACGTACCTGTACCGCTACATCGTGCAACAGATGTTGGTGAATAAAAATTTGAGGAAAATCCAATACTAGACCTACGTTCGTCCAAGCAATATTAGGTAGGATGCACGCACTTGTAGGGGAGGGAATAACACTTTTCGCATCCTAAACTAGACGTGTTCGTGCTACTTTGCTCCCTGAATTTTCAATTTTCCACAGTGCATTTTTGAAACATGAAATCATGGACAACTTTCCTTTTTCCTGGAAAAAAAAAATTATAAGATTCATTGGATTCAAACGAGCCTCATGCTTCCAATAATTTCTCCGGCCCGTTCCGATTATATAAATTGAAATAAACAAATATCTCCATTCGATACCAAAAGAATGGAACAAATACGATTTTTTCATGAGACTGGCCGCTTTGCCGGGGAAGGTGAATCACAGTTTTCCATCATGGTCGAAAGACGAATGCCAAAGGGAATATAGAAATCCAGGTTTGACCATTGACTATCGCATCTCCCGATCTTCGAAAGGGAGACTAACAAAATTTATCTTCGACCGGAAGCCAAGTCCTCCATCTGCTTACCGCAATACAATTTGCAAATATAGTCCCGATCGATGAGGAGGTCATTATGGTCTTTGCACAAATAGTCCCGATTGATCTTTCTATACCTCAGCATTTTTAATCGGGAAAATGACACAAACAGTCTCTAAACCTTGGCTTAATATGTAATGTGATCTCTAAACCTTTAATTTATTCAATATCGTCCCTGAACTTGTAGTACGTGTTCAATTTAATCCATGAATTATATGAAAATGTTCGATATAGTCCATAAACTTGAATTAATGAAAGGATATTATTGAATATTTTCATATAGTTTAGAGATTTTATTGAACATGTATCTAAGTCCATAAACCAAATTAAATAAATTATAAATTCAGGGTCTACATCGAATATTAAAAATGTACCATCTAAACTTAGTAAAGTATATACTCATCTATCGTTCATCCAATGTCATGGGTCCAAGTGTTATTGGAGCATCAAAAGCAACCAAAAAGTACATGACTTGAAACTGCCCTACAGTTTCTTCTGGCATTAGGTGATGTGCGATGCTTTAAAAGAGATCCATGGCTGATCACGACGTGGCCCGAGTTGAATTAAAGAGCGAGCGGTTGGTACAGCACTCGGAAAGGTGGATTTCTCACTTTGGGACGTAACGCTTACGTAGTTAATGCATCGTCTGCGATCACTGTTTATGATATTCGATACACGTGAAAATTATTAGCACGACCAAGTTAGGATTTCCTTTTTCTGCAAATATTGATTGTGCTGAGCTCTACGCCCTTAAAAAGAAATTTCGCACCCAAATTGCAAATAACGATCCTCGAATTATGTTTTCAAAGGTGGAACCCATGCCTCAAAAAGTTTAATGACTCCCGGTAGTATAAAAAGAAAACCAAGTGAACTATGAAAAGCTTTGAGTCGCTTCTTGATCCAAAAGAACAGACAGATATGGTAGGCCAAGATCGAGCAGCTTCGAGCCAGTCTATTGCTTTGCATGTGGATGTGAAAAAGAATACAACAGTCTATCTTTCCAACACCAACTCCAATTGAACTTGCACGATAGCATTACAGCTCTCTTATCTCTAATTGGTGCAGCGAAAGTTCTCACTTGGAGAGTTCAGTTGAATGTCCTAATGAATTTTCTGCCAGAACAGAACCACACTAGAGCATGCAAGATTTTGCAATCATTTGAAATGCTTAGTTCAAGAACTTCCTGGTCTTCGACGTTGCTAAACATTGAAGTGAATGTCGATTAGACCTGTTATGCCAGCAGTGATCTTTTGACCTACTTTAACAGGGCCAACACCTTGGGGAGTGCCTGCACAATCAAACACCGAAAAAAAAAAACATTATTAGACACAAAGAAAGCAACTTCTGAATCTAAGCCTTGGGAAAGGGAGTTGAGAAACATTAAAGACTTGGTTTTTCAGGTCGTCCTATTGACAACATGCTGTACAAACCAAGAATTCTAGATACTGCAAAAGAACTTCATAGCAAGAAGACATCTGACACCAAAAAGTGACACAAAAGATTGAAGCAAGTACCTGTCAGTATGACATCTCCCTCAAAAAGGATCATAATGGAGCTTATGTGGCTAATAAGATAAGGAAGCTTAAAAATCATGTCCTTGGTTGAACCCTTCTGCCTTATTTCATCATCTACCTGCAGTCAGAGCAAACAACTAGACTAAGATCAGTCTACATAAATGAGAATCAAGCACTCATTGTTATGTGAATGTAAGACTGAGAATTTGACACCTTGAGCCACAATTCCAAGTTGTCATGGTCTGGTACCAAATATTTGTCCAGCTGAGAAGGGTTTTGGAATCAAAACAATAGGCAAAATCAGAAAACTGCCAAAAGAGAAAACACTCAAACTAAAGTCAGATACTTGAAAATCTATTATAAGCAATCTATGGAACTTGGTTCTTAAGGTAATCTTCTTCCAAGCCCACTGGCTGGCTAATCAGGTCAGAGTCCATCTACGTTGAATTTGCCAGACAATCCAAATTGACATCGTCTGGCAAAACCTATCATTCATCCCAGTCCTTTATTTTTTAGCCACATTTTGTAATTGTTGAATTTCTATAGTGAATTTTGTTTTTCCTCTCCTCTGTGGTTTTTCCCGCAGGGGATTTCCACGTAAATCTGCATGTTCTTTTATTATTCTCAGTTTTAACTTCATTGTATTTTTTGCATATGTCATAACGGGGTGTTTGTAATGGTCCTTGAGAATTGAGCCAGTCTATTAGTTGGAAAGCTTCCAAGATTTTGTGTATTACAACATTTTGAATAGGAGTCAAGAAAAAAAATGCAAAGAGGGATAATTTGTTATGATATGAGGATTCGTTTTTTAATCGACCATGAAACTGCCACAATCAATAAAATGTCCAACTCAAAAATTATTTCCTCCATTAAAAAAATTATTTATTCATTGAATCTCCAATGTTATACAGTAGAATAGACGATATGTCATCGTGCATCATACAAGTTTCAGTCCTCAAAATCCCTTTAGCTATACCAGCCACAGTAATTATATCATCTGATGACAACATGGATGACCCGGACAACATGGCAGCGGTGGCGGCGGCTGCAACCACGAGCACGGTGGTGGCAGTTGCAACCACGAGCATGGCGGTTGTGGCTCTATCCACAAGCACGGCAGCAGCAACAGAGGCGTCGGCGGAGTCGGCGGAGTCGGCGGCGTCGGCGGAGTCGGCGGAGTCGTCGGCGTCGGCGGCGTCGGCGGAGTCGGCGGCATCGGCAGCGTCGGCGGCATCAGCGGCATCAGCAGCAACGTTGCCATCGTTGTCGACGGCGACTGAGACGTTAGCTTCTGCGGCAATGTCGGTCACAGATTGATTTTTGGAATCTTAACCGTTAATTTCAGTGAAGTGGCGGTTTGTCTGTCTGTCTCTCTCTCTCTGTCTAAACAATAATATCTCTGTCTCTCTCTCTCTCTCTCTCTCTCTCTCTAAACAATAATATCTCTGTCTCTGTCTCTCTCTCTCTCTCCTGTAAAAACTCAGCTCTACAAGGAACCGCACGCATTACACTCGGAAGCAGAACACAGATTCGACTGAAGGAGAGCTGAATAACAGAGGGGAGACCTGAAGGAGCACATGGAAATGGCTACTCGCGTGAATTTAACGGCATGGTTGATTATGGTGATTTCGGCCGGCTTCATACATGCGGCGGCGGCGGCGACGACGTACACGGTCGGAGATGAATTGGGGTGGACTGTCCCCTCCAACATATCCTATTACCAGTCTTGGGCTGCCTCCAAGACTTTCATGGTCGGCGACCAGCTATGTATAAGCCCCTCCTTTTACCTTGTTCTTATTCTTTCGTTTGTTTCCTATTCCTCGTACATGCGCAAGGTTTTCTCTTTCACCATTAATTTGTCGGGCAATTATTTAAGTGAGCTATTCAAGAACGGAGCGATTTGCATGTACATGTGAGAATGAATCGATTTCCAACGACTCATATTGTCTAGCAAAATCTGACCTTTGGAGGATTCAGTTTTACGCAATCAAGTAGAGATCCAGATTTATGGATATGACTTGATCGATGTCATTGATCTCTCTCTAGATCAAAACAGAGTCATGACTTCTTGTGTGATTTCTACAGTGTAATCGATTTTGCACGTCATATCATTCATGAAATGAGCATACTTTGTTTCAGCTTTCAATTGGACCGGGACGCATAATGTGGCCGAAGTATCAAAGGCCGAGTACGACAACTGCACCCAGGTCGTATCTGTTATGGGCAGTCCGGTGAACATCAAGCTCTTGAAGGGCGGGTCTTACCATTACATCTGCACCGTCGATTCACATTGCGAGCTTGGTCAAAAGCTGTCCATCACCGTCGGATCGTCCGCAGCCGCTCCGGCCTCACCGAGCAATTCCGCTCCGTCGACGCCTCTCGACTCCAGTGTCTTGGTCTCTGCATGTATCACCATCGCTTACTGTGTCATTATACTCGCCAGTGAATTGAATGTCGTACATTATATTGGATAAACGCGTTGGTGTCGCCTCTATAATGTAAGGAAAATAAGGTCAATTGTCTCTTTCTTGGCCTATAAGAAAAGAGAGTCAATTCATGTGAGTTAGATTGCCGCTGTTTGTTGATTTCTACTTGTTGATTTCGATCAATGGAATCCACAAACCTGAACTATGAGCGGTGAAGTGAACACCATATCTTTAGAGAAAAGTGAAATTTGAGTCATTCATCCGGTCCCTTCCTAATTACCCCTGCATTATACGATAGGAAAGTCAAAAAATTAGGTGATAAATATAAACAAACATATCTTAAAACAATCCGCCTTCTCCAATTCACTTCCTTAACCACCTAGCTTGCAAAGGCGTAGTGCGTGCACTAATGTATATAACGCTAAGACATGTCTTGTAAGTTGAGAGAGGACCCTCCACAAGCTCCATCGCATATGACTAAACCAAACGAGAAACTCGATCTGACGATCAAGAGAAGAAGTGATGAAATCTATTTAGGTTCAGATCCGGCACTCTGCTAATCAAAGTTTTGCCATCGACCGTGCTTCAAGCTGTGGCGTTCACTCAATCAATTGTTTATCAATCATACAATTGACATAAAGAAGCCATAAGCAATGTCCAAAAAGATCAAAGCGAAGCAGCACAAGAAAGATGACTTCTGATGAGGGATTGGCGGTGGGGTTCCTGGGGAAGTTTCTTTCTTGTAATGCTGAAGAAAGTGACGCAAATATAAGTTTGCACTATCTGAACTTAGTGAGTGAAGTATATAGTCATCCATCGTTCATCCAATGTCAACGGTCCAAGTGTTATTGGAACATCAAAAGCAACCAAAAAGTACATGACTTAAAAGTTAAAACTGCTTTACAGTTTCTTCTGGCATTTGGTGATGTACGATGCATAAAAGGATCAATGGCTGATCACGACGTGGCCCGAGTTGAATTAAAGAGCGAGCGGTGGGTACAGCACTCGAAAAGATGGATTTCTCATCTTTGGGATGTAATGCTTACGTAGTTAATGCATTGTCTGTGATCGCTGCTTATGACATTCGATATTCGTAAATATTATTATCTCGACCAAGTTAGGATTTCCTTTTTCTCCGGATATTGATTGTACTGAGCTCTACGCCCTTAAAAGAAATTTCATGCTCGAATTGCAAATAACGATCCTCGAATTATGTTTTCAAAGGTGGAACCCATGCCTCAAAAAGTTTAATGGACTCCCAATAGCAAAAAAAAAAACCAAGTGACTTATGAAAAGCTTTGAGTCGCTTCTTGATCCAAAAGAACAGACAGATATGATAGGCCAAGATCGAGCAGCTTCGAGCCAGTCCATTGCTTTGCATGTGGATGTGAAAAAGAATACAACAGTCTATCTTTCCAACACCAACTCCAACTGAACTTGCACGGTAGTATTACAGCTCTCTTATCTCTAATTGGTGCAGCCAAAGTTCTCACTTGGACAGTTCAGTTGAATGTCCTAATGAATTTTCTGCCAGAACAGAACCACACTAGAGCATGCAAGATTTTGCAGTCATTTGAAATGCTTAGTTCAAGAACTTCCTGGTCTTCGACGTTGCTCAGCATTGAAGTGAATGTCGATTACACCTGTCATGCCAGCAGTGATCTTTTGACCTACTTTAACAGGGCCAACACCTTGGGGAGTGCCTGCACAATCGGTTGCAAGAGATCATATGCCCGGTAAAAAACAAAACATTATTAGACACAGAGAAAGCCACTTCTGAATCTAAGGGAAGTCTAAGGAAAGGGAGTTGAGAAACAATAAAGACTTGGTTTTTCAGGTCATACTACTGATAACGTACTGTACAAACCAAGAATTCTAGATACTGCAAAATAACTTCATAGCAAGAAGACATCTGACACCAAAAAGTGACACAAGAGATTGAAGCAATTACCTGTCAGTATGACATCTCCCTCAAGAAGGGTCATAATAGAGCTTATGTGGCTAATAAGAAAAGGAAGCTTAAAAATCATGTCCTTGGTTGAACCCTTCTGCCTTATTTCATCATCTACCTGCAGTTAGAGCAAACAACTAGACTAAGATCAGTCTACATAAATGAGAATCAAGCACTCATTGTTATGTGAATGTAAGACTGAGAATTTGACACCTTGAGCCACAATTCCAAGTTGCCAGGGTCTGGTACCAAAGATTTGTCCAGCTGAGAAGGGTTTTGGAATCAAAACAATAGGCAAAATCAGAAAACAGCCAAAAGAGAAAACACTCAAACTAAAGTCAGATACTTGAAAATCTATTATAAGCAATCTATGGAACTTGGTTCTTAAGGTAATCTTCTTCCAAGCCCACTGGCTGGCTAATCTCAAGTCAGAGTCCATCTACGTTGAATTTGCCAGACAATCCAAATTGACATCGTCTGGCAAAACCTATCATTCATCCCAGTCCTTCATTTTTTAGCCACATTTTGTAATTGTTGAATTTCTATAGTGAATTTTGTTTTTCCTCTCCCCCGTGGTTTTTTCCGCAGGGGATTTCCACGTAAATGTAAATCTGCATGTTCTTTTATTATTCTCAGTTTTAACTTCATTGTATTTTTTGCATATGTCATAACGGGGTGTTTGTAATGGTCCTTGAGAATTGAGCCAGAATCCTTGATGACCGTTGAAAGAAAAAAAATTAAATCTCGTCTATTAGTTGGAAAGCTTCCAAGATTTTGTGCATTACAACATTTTGAATAGGAGTTAAGAAAAAAAATGCAAAGAGGGATAATTTGTTATGAAATGAGGATTCGTTTTTTAATCGACCATGAAACTGCCACAATCAATAAAATGTCCAACTCAAAAATTGTTTCCTCCATTAAAAAAATTATTTATTCATTGAATATCCAATGTTATACAGTAGAATAGACGATATGTCATCGTGCATCATACAAGTTTCAGTCCTCAAAATCCCTTTAGCTATACCAACCACGGTAATTATATCATCTGATGACAACATGGATGACCCGGACAACATGGCAGCGGTGGCGGCGTCTGCAACCACGAGCACGGTGGTGGCAGTTGCGACCACGAGCATGGCGGTTGTGGCTCTATCCACAAGCACGGCAGCGGCGTCGGTGGAGTCGGCGGCGTCGGTGGAGTCGGCGGAGTCGGCGGCGTCGGCCGCGTCGGCGGAGTCGGCCGCGTCGGCGGATTCGGCGGCGTCGGCGGCGTCGGCGGCGACGTTGCCATCGTTGTCGACGGCGACTGAGACGTTAGCTTCTGCGGCAATGTCGGTCACAGATTTATTTTTGGAATCTTAACCGTTAATTTCAGTGGTGAAGTGGCGGTTTTGTCCTTAGGATCACGACGAGATATGAGAAGGACACCGCCAGCAACCCATCATCCAGAATTTATCCTTCTGCATGACCTCAATGTTGAATCTGATAAAAAGAAAATTAAGCAATAGCATTTTCACTTACCACAGAGCTAATTGGTGTGAAAGTATCTTGCCCTTTTGCTACTGTCAATGGAAGACCTGCGGACTAACAACAAGAACAGTATGGAAGAGATGAAATCAGTTTCATTTAGAGTTAAACGGATCCTCAAGAAGAAAATTTTTCGATCCACAGAAGAATGAGGAAAATAATATACATGTAGGAGCTGAAAAAATAACGAAAGCAGGTTGGTCTCAGTTGATGTCCACAGAATCATAGGCCCAATAAGTTCCAAGCAATAATCACGTTTGATGTGCTGAACAAGTTAATCAGCTTATAAAGAATTTCCCAGGGTTTATTGCGAGGACATGTCACCATAGGAAAGGTCTCACTCAAATTATAACCATTACGATTTGGCAAATATTAAAGTTTCTACTGAAAACTACCAGCCATCTCATCCTTGATAGCAACTTTTTCTGAACCAAAAGATACAGCTAGTAGACAACCGAACAAATAGTAAATTTCAGGAACAAAGACAAAGGGAGGGCCACCAGTTCCATCCATAAAAGATAGGGATATGTGCACTAGAAGTCCTAAAACTTGTCACAAAAGTGCAATTGAGTCCTAAAACTTATCACGAAAGTGCACTTCAGTCCTAAAACTTTCAAAAAGTGCAAATAAGTCCTAAAACTTTCAAAAAGTGCAAACTTGTTTTGATACCGCAGCACGAGTCTAGATGGTGTTTGCTTGGATTGATGGAATCGGGGCCACCGCGTAAGAAGTGTCATTCTAGAAAATGAGAAGAAGAAGAAGATGAAGAATCGATGCTGCATATGCCACAAGGTCTACTAGGTATTCCATTCGCCAGGGGTGGAGGGCTAGAGAAGGAACTTAGAACTTAGAACTTAGAACTTAGAACTTAGAATTAGATCTGATACAAACCCCCACTTTTTTCCTTTATTAAGATCCATTAAAATAAGTTAGTAAAAAGATTCCACTTTTCTTGGGACTTCAAAGAAGAAGAAGGTGTACAGCTACCCCAGAAAAGACCTGCTCCAGTTAAGGTCGGGCTTTTCCCCCATTTGATTGTTTTTGTGGAATGGTCAACAAAGGTCTCCTCGTCCAAAGCTTTTGCGGATTCGAAAGGGAGGGCCACCAGTTCTATCCGTAAAAGATTTAAAGAAATAGGAAATACACCTTCGCAGAAGATTGGATCTCCCTAGCAGTCATATCCAGTCCAAGAGCATATCCTACAATTCATGAGCATACCAGCTTCACTACCTCAAAGATTGAAAAATCTTCAATCGTACGAAAAGCACAGATCAGAGAAACAAAATCAGGAGAAAGACGGAATAGAAAGTCAACGACTGATTAGTTGAACCTGCTCGTTACTCAGTGATCCCTTCACTTAGCATCATAATATCCAAAGTCATCCACATTCAATATCCCAAACCTCCACAATTTATAGAAGTTAGGAGATAACTAGCTCCATTACAAATCACACAATCAGGCAATCAGCCACGACGTAATGTATTTCATGCACCATCCCAGGATCATAATGTGCATTTAAGCTTTGTATAAACATGAAAAAGTTTGTGTTGCTTGCCCAAAACACAATCCAAACCACAAAAACTTGAGGAGGTAAAAAGCAAAGCGTAGACTAGCTCCGTAAGCAAGTCAAAAATTTGCGCTAGAATGGATGCTTTTACGAGCACCAACAACAATGGGAAAAGCATTGATTGAAATTAGAGACGAGACATACCATATAGTTCCAGCTAGTCGACAAGATGACATTGCATAACTTTCTCTTGATCAGGATTATCAATTCAACAACGATAACAAGCTAGCCACCGGTTTAAACAGAAAATAAAAAAGGTGCATAATCATGTCCATGATGACCAAGATATTGCACTGTTCAGAATCATCCTCTGGAACAAGCCGCCGATTGTCCTGTTCAGCTTCATACTCACCCCCCATCTCCAATGAAGTTGTATCAAGAGCCAGACATAAAGTATCATATCATTACTAGTTCGAGTCCAATACCAAATGAAACTCACTCCACCCAAAAGATCCACATAGTTTGAAGGCTTCCCGAATCATAATGTGAATGACACCGCGAATCACGACGCCATGAAGTCCGGACACTAAAACGACGGCAGCAAAATCCATCAAGCGCACGAAGCGATCACCAGATTCGAAGTTACCTCCGACATAGTCCATGGCGGCCGACTCGGGAACGTCCCGAGCTTTCCGCCCGATCACGACCGCGAGCTC